AACACACACACACTTGGCACTGCCTTATTAGAGACCTTGCGTTAGTGCCAGAGTCGTCCCAGTCCTAATGCATTGCAAATGATCTTGAATAATTGATCACGCAAGATGGGATCAAAAGAATGTATGCATACCTTACAGTAGTGAGGTTAGCCCTGAGACAGGAAGGTAGCTGAGCTTCTAATTACCCCCTGTCTCCATTAAGATTACCACTTCATCACAACACAGCTGTACACACAGGAGCCATACAGTAAACATGTGCACATATGTACATATATACAGTTCTGCATGCACATATATACTCAAAAATAAAGCTTTAATGTGCCAAAAACATGATAACCATGTTTGTGTACACAAGCACACACACACACTCAGTGCTCACTCCTTCTGGCTTATAAAGATTTCCTGCTGAAATAATAAGTCAGATGCACCAGAGAAGAGAGAGAATGTGAGAGACAGAGATACAGAGAGAGAGTGAGAGAGAGAGATACACAGAGAGAGAGACAGTACAGTACAGACTCAGTGAATGCATGGCCATAGAAAATGGGCAGTATAAAATCCTGGCTACCCAGAGAGGAAAGCGTGTGTGGTCACTATATGACAGGTAAAACACTCAGACCGGTAACTTTCACAAAGAAATTCAAACAACTAATCCTAAATTATATACTGTATATAACACAATGTAAATAATATATCCACAATATAAGCACTATATAACACATGTTGAAAGAGAAAGATGAGAGAGAGAGAGAGATAGAAAGAGAAAGAGAGAGCGAGAGAAGGGAAGAGAAAGTAAGAGAGAGTGAAGGAAAAAGAGTGAGAGGCAGAAAGATACAGACAGATATATACACATATATAAGGAGAGAGAGAGAGAAACAGACAAAGGCAGAGAGAGCAACACAGAGAGGTGGAGAGAGCGATAGAGGAAGAGAGAGAAACAGAGAGAAAGAGAGAAAGAGACAATGAGGGGTGTGTATTTTTCACTTGCACTGTAACATGTCCTTCAGCACCACTCATGAGCCTCATCAACACACACACACACACACACACACACACACACACACACTGAAGTGTGCTTCATTTCTCTGCTGAGCCTACATACAGAGTGGGTACTCTGCCAACTACACAATTCACCTGAATCTGAATTCAAGCTTCCCAGCAGTGTAAAGGTCTACTGTCATAGTTATTATGCAATTTTTGCAGTATCATTTTCACAAATGGTCAAGTTGGTAGTTACACCTACCTTGTACACTCACTTTCCATTTTATCAGAAACACCTACCATACAATGGGTACTGAATGTGCTGAAACAATCATTTTTTATCAAAATTAAATTTAAAAGAGTGCAACTTTCAAATTACAAGAGCGGCTCTCTAATAAATTAATTAATAGTCTAATAAATTAATATCACAGAGCTTGTGAAGTGCCTGTAGATGTGTAGACCAATCAGAAGCAACCAAACGTGCACGTGCTCTGAACATAACACAACTACAACTAACTGGTAACCTGGCACACCACAATCAGTGTTAATGCCTTCAGTTAAGAAAAAGAGATATGCTGGCCCTCATGAACAAAACACAGGCCTGGAGCTTAACGTACAGAAAACAATGCAATTCAAACTGCAGTCACATACTCTCTCAAATCGCTGAGTCCCTACTGGATGGTGCAGTGGGTCCGACTACGGCATAGTTCACGCATAGATGCAAACACAGACGCTTCGAGTTATGCAGACGGGGTTTTGCACATAGTTGCTTTCCAAAATGTGTTGTGACGCATTTCATAATGCAACAAGTGCAAGCTGCATTCTGAGTGTTACAGCAAGGGGCGCTATAACGACAGCCAAGCCTGTCCAAGTGGTTGTCCTCTATCGCCCCCTTCAGTACTGAGTGTTTTAACAGTCACAGTAACGTAATAACGCACAGTGAGTTTGTACAGAAGGACCGAGTGTTTGCAGCGCGTTAGCCAAGCGCTGTCATTTGTGTGAAGTATGTTTTAGGCCTAAGAGTCCTCTTTCTGTCTTTCTTGCTTCACTTCCAGTTCTCGCTTAATGGATTTTTTAAACACTGTGTACACTTTGTGAAACAAACTTTCTTTGTCAGCACAGCTTATGCATATTTAGATACTACAGATCTTCAACCATGCACAATTTGACTTAGACTTCCTCTAGCTTTTCTGACCACTGGGCCACTGTTAGTGGACTATTTTTAATGCTGCAGTTTCATTGTTCATCTCCTGTGTCTGACATGGACTGCAGACTGGGGGGGGGCAGGACACAAATATCAAGTATGTTCTGTGCCTCATAGCTTTGGATCGGTGGAATACACACATCATGTCAGAGCCACTGCTGTGCTGAGAATGGTTCACTACCCAAGTAATATCTGGTCAGCAGTGGTTCTGGTGGTTCCTATGGTGAAGCAGAGGGGGGTTACAAATTCTGAATAATAACGTGGGCTACAGTCAGTTGTTACTTACTAAGGGCACCTTTATGGTAGGTGTACCTGATAAAATAGCATAACAAACTGTCAACACCATGTATTTAGCAATAGATAAATATGTGGCCTGGAAACAAAACATACATTGTTGTGCACCTATGATAAAAAGATATTGATCTTGTTCTACACATTCTGCTTGTGTCTTCATCCTTATCCTGTCATGGCAAAGTGTTCAGCATCAGGTCAGCTAAAAACCCATGAGTGCCGCTGCTGGATAACAAGAGGAGAAGGAACACAAGGTCAGGTAACTATCATCATTCCGTGTGTCACCTTCGATTTTTCCCCCGTTACTTTCTGAAGCTAACAAGCACCTGGAGAGCAGGGAAGGCGCTTGATAAGGTCCTGTTATCGATATTCAGAGACTTCTTCTTGTTTCAAACAGAGAGCCTTAACAGCTCCGCAGCAAGCCCTGATGATAATGACGTTCGGCCTCATTCCTCAATAGCAGTAATTTGTAGACAAACAAAAAGACAAGAGGGGATATTTGGGATGTCTGGCTAGGTTCACTCTTATCACCTTTAGCCCCGAGGCCTTCAGTTATACTAAAAACAAGAAAAAAGCACTAATAAAGCTGGAGCAGGAAGTGTCTGGGAGCGGTCCAGAGTGCGACTGAAGGACAGGGGGTAGAGTCTGATAAACAGCGCTGTTAGAGCTGTGGACCAATTAGGCAGCACCCGGCGCCGAGATTTCATGCAAAATTACACTGGCGAAACGAGCGACAATTAACGGGGGCGCGTGTTCATTCATTAGCGGCGAAAGGCAGCGATTTGCAGGAGGGAGGGGAGAGGTCAGTTTGTAGGACTGCCAAAGCGCTAATGTCCTCCTAGCATCTCCCAGTCCAGTTGAATGAAACAGTGGCCTGGAACAATACTGGCACACATGCAAACACTGCGAGCGCTCAAACTGAGGGCCAATCACACATTGAGCTCACATAGCAAGCTCTCCAATTAGAACCTTGCAGAATTTGTAACACAGGCAGAGAGAGACATATGAGAGCGGTTGAGAATTCCCACTGTGCTGCTTAGATTTCAACCATTCTAGTCTAGAGTTGTTATCACTGCATTGTTATACCATTTAAATCTAATTAGGATACTATTTTACCATAAGACAACCCTGATTTATGGATTTAAAATTAGTTGATTAACGGCTATTAATTAGGTCACAAACACCTTAAAAACCATTAATAAGCTTATATCACACAAATAAAAAGAGCAACAGTGATCTGTTATATCTAATGAAATATCTGATGAAGCTGATAGGTTTAACACTGACTGATGGATGGAAGATAAAGTAAGATAAGTAACCCGCAAGATCTGGGGTTTTAACCGTGTAGATGAATATGGGCTCACTTTTTGGCAAGCACTAGTTCACCGTTTCCCTTTTTAATTATGTTATAACAGCTCTTACATGATTTTTAAGGTTTATGGCCTTATTATCTCTCTTCAAAACAAGACTCTGCGCAGCAATAACTTTACTCCTCTTTTAATGCAAATGTGGTATTGACCAAAAGTTTTGAATCTGCACTTTCAACAGAATTTTCAGAATTGCTTCAATGAACAATAAATGAAAAATAATTCAGTGAAAATATAATATTTAATTATATTTACTTAATTTACAAATGACAACACAGGGGCTTCCAAGTGATGCAACCATCTAAGTGTTGGCCTCATCCTTAAGAGACTGCAAGACTGATCTCCAGCAATGCCACAGCTATTCATGTCTGGGAGTCCAAGAGAGCAAAATGCACCACATTCTCTTTGGGTGAGTAGGATCGGCCTCCATCTACACTCTGCCATCTACCCTCATCACTCACTGCCATACTTGCCAATGCAGGCGTCTTTTAGCTGATGTAAAAGAACAGGCTTTAGGTTAGTGTTCTCCTCCAAGAATGTCAAGCTGTTGAATGACACTGCATTAGAAGCAGTTTAAAAAGACATGTGGTTGGCTTCACACCTCTCAGAGGAAACACATGCCAGCCTTCACCCTCCCAGTTTGTTAGCACTGTATGATGTGTGAGACCTAGAAAGCAGGTGGAATAGACTATAACTAAAATTGTGGAACAAAATTAGATAACCACCCCTCCAAAAAAAAGAGAGAAAGGCAAATATATAAGGAATGCTTTTTCTTTCCACAAAACATGACTGTAGGTACAACCTTTTATCAGTGTTGAGTCATAAAATATTCCCTATTAGCATAAATGTGATATCTATTTACAAAATGTTCAGGATCCACACTTTTGACCCAATTTCTCTGCTTGTTTGAATGATCAGTGAGTGAGAAATTACTAAAGAAAATGTAAGACAAGTGTTTCATTGTATATACACCATGAAAAACCTAAAAGGCTTAACAGTCTGAGATCCAAGGTTGGAAAGGAGATCAAATGTGGGCAAGCGTAGATGAAGATATCAAAAGGAGTGGAGAGGTGATGAATGGATGAATGGAAAGGACAGGGTAAAAATACATGAAGCGAGAGAAAAGAGAGAGTGGAGGAAAAGTTGTGTGGGGTACAGACCCGATTGTGCTTCCAGGTGCAGCCTCGATGGTCCACACGCAGTGCAGGTTGTGCTCGTAGGGTGCGGGGTAACCAGGAGACAGGATCCGACCCGCCGGCTCGTCCTTAATTGCGCCCCCACACTCGGCTACATGCAGAGGAAAGAAACACACAGACAGACAGACAGACATTATTTCATATTTTGTTTGGAAAAAAAACAACATGCTGTCAGTTAGCCATTGGGAGCTTCTGGCCTACTTCCTTTAGGTCTGGCATCACAATTGTCCTCTTACTAAAAATAGTTCAACAGCCAAGACATACAAGGTGTCCAAAGTTAGCTTCTTTAGTTTTGTATTGAAGCTAATGTAGCTAATAGGTGATGGAAGTTTACTGCAGTCAGTTTAACATCATGCCCAAATCTTGACACACCTACTTCAAGTAATGTTAAATTGATAATTAAACTTGCTTCATATAATTAATGATGTAACTGAAAACATGCAATGTTGTTATGTAATCAGGATCCCCAAAAAAAAGCTAACTCCATTCCCTTACAGTTTTAGAAAAAGGTAGTAATTAGATAACATATGTTATAAAAACAGGGTGATCATTCATGGTGCACTGTTAGAAATAAAGGTTCTGTGCAGGTACATTTTTCAATCATCAAGGTACAAACAACGTAACTGTACTCTCAAAGGTACAACAGTGGTTTCAAGGTCCAATTGAGTACCTTAAATATGTTTTTCACAGGTGAAAAGTATTTGTACCTTTCCATAACCTAATGTTTTAAAACAGAACAATAAAATAAAAAGCCTGTAGACAAGACAGGGTGTGTGGAGAAAATACAACTTATAAAATATAATTTCATTGGATTATGGTACGATTATGTTTCCTGACTAAAGGTACTGAGATGTAGAGGGTACCACCCCAGTGACAAGACAGGTACTGCCCCAGTGACAGTTTTGTACCTTTATTTCTGAGAGTGTGCCTATGTTCATTTCTATGTGTGTGCAGTTTGAAGTCGTCCCATATTGCTCTTTCCTTACTTGAATAACTGGTTAACCAAGAAATATTTAATGAACCTGTTTATAAATGGCCATTTACACAACATACATAAAACGCAAACAGTTACACATCACCAGTATTGTCTCTGTGCATTTCGTTATTAGGGTGAAGTCACCCTGCTTGAATAATTTTTTTCTTGCCTTTCTTTGATTATGTGACTTTAAAAAGACAAGTAACCCAAAGGTAATGGAATGTAATCATTTTACGTTACTTTGATATAGTAATCCTATTAACAGGTGATCAGTAATCTGTACCAGAATATGCTGTTAAAGTAACCCTTCTGTAAAAAAGGCACAAACATACATGACTTAGCCAAAAACAATAGTAGTAGCCAATTTGAATTTTCTCTGTACTTTGGTTCATAAACCATATAAGCAAGTCTATTTGAGATCACTTAACAAACTGACATAGACTGTGTTAAGTGTGTGACTGAGGTGGTACCCCCAAGGGTACATCTCTGTACCTTTATTCAGGGAACATGATTGTACCATTGAAATTTGAAATATTTTCTTCTAAGTTGCACTGACTCCATACACCCTGTCTTGTCTCCAGGCTTTTTATTTTATTGTTCTGTTTTAAAACATTAGGTTATGAAAAGGTACAAATACGTAGTTTTCACCTGGAAAACTTATTTAAGGTACACAGTTGGACCTTAAAACCACTGCTGTACCTTTGAGGGAACATTTACATTGTTTGTACTTTGATGAACAAAAAATGCACCTGCCCAGAACCTTTATTTCTAACACTGTAGGAGCTAGCAAACTTTAGAACCCCTACGTGTCATGTCTCGTCAGCTCGATTATATTTGAGATAAGGGAGAAATTCTGTACATTTTATTTTTACCAATCACTTTAAAAAAGACAATAAAGCCTTCAACAATTCAACATTTGCAGAGCTGTACTAAAACTGTCGGTGCTTCAAAGCAGGTAATGCAGTTTTGAGACGAGAGCAGAGGGGGAGAGCTGTAGCCATGGGCAGACTGCAGTGCAGGATCCTCTCAGTAGGGATGGGGACACAATGTGCCGAATATGATGCATCATCATGTGGCGGGGGCCAGTATAACTTTCCACTTTAAAATAATACATTCTGCGGCGGGCCGAGCTTTATGAGCGATGGGCAGAATAATGCAGTAGTATATCACGGCCGGCATTGAGACATCCCTGGGGAGGGCATATTTCCTTTGGCTAATATCACTGATAGGGTTTTGGTAATATCTTCTGCTTCGGGTGAGCCCATCCATCTTGCGGGAGGGATGGCAGGGGTGTCACGCCGCTGGGCACAAATCACTTGTTTGTCAGCAAGGTAGGGGCCCAAGCATGCACCACAGCTTCAGTTTCACGGATCAGGAAGCAGTGAGCTCCTCACACCGCGCCCCCCTGTCCCCGAGGTCATACAGATCAAATGTGTGCTTCCTCACACTGTACACCCACAGAGAAACACACTCAGTACGGGCCTAAAGGGGGCGATCCTGCAGAGGTCCATCTCACAGGCGGAACTTGTTTATAGCAGGAACGGTTAAGCAGATGCTGCTGATTGGAGGTGACTCAATAAGACTCAATGAACTGCAATATATGAAATTGGATACTGCTCCACACACACACACACATGCGCACACACACACACACACACACACACATATACGCACACACACACAACCACTAGACGTGGGCAATATGACCGTGTATTATTGTTAACATAATATTTTTAATTCTGTTGCTGGGTTAGACGTTGCACAAACCCTACAGAACACTGGTAAAAATCACAGTAATCTAATGACAAATTACACATTAACCACACAACTAATTTTTTCACAAGAAAAAACTTTCAAATTATATTTTATATTACTGACAAATCACACTGTTACATTAGATCAGGTGTAAGTTTTGTTGTCATATTTTAGAGGTAACGTTAGTATTTTTACTTATTCTTTGATTTTTTTTCTTCTGTTCCTATTACTGATTAAAAATTGCGGAACAAAATCAAAATAATAAAATTCCAAATTATATAATGAATAAAAAAACAAATATGAAAATATAAAAGTTGATTAAAAAAACTAAAAATGACTAATTTTTAGGCTTTTCTTTCTCTCCTTTTCATTTTGTTAGTAAACACTAGCATCATGATATTTGTATTATGTAGTCCTGTGGCCAGTGACAATTAATGACTTACCACTGTAACAGTTAAAACTTATTTACTACTGGTTTAAAATCTGTCATTCATTTGTTGATTTATTTCAAATAAACTATAGCAAGACACTAGTATGCCCCACATGTAAACATATCACTGATACCACATTTATGGAACGGTTTACATTTTAGGACAATCTCAGACCACAGTGTCACACCAAACAAAAAAAGCTTTGGGTCTTGGGAAACAGGAGTAAAATCATCTCTCAGCTCTCATGCATCACCAAACAGGTCGTTTCTAGTGGTTTCCAGCATCTGGCTAAGCTAAGTGGCCTTAGACAGTAAGGTTTGTGTGACATTCCTAATTTCGTTCTCTATTATTACTACATTAATATAGTTTTGTGGCCAAAACAAAGATGATATCAAACTACAACCACAACTTATACTGAACTGAGGATAAGCTTAAATTTACGCACCCGCTAAAAACGTGTGGGGGTGGGGAGTGGCCTTGAAGTCAAACCCCAGATCCAGTGTAAGTGTTAACCACTCTTTACAACATAAATATAATAAACCTGAATAAGAAGATTCAGGCTTAGTATTATGAGTATACAGTTGTATGCAAAGTTTAGGTGCCCCAGTCAAATGACATGTTTTGTGTTCAGTTGCTTTTTTAAGTGACAATAAGATAACACACTAATAAGAGAACACACCTCTGCACATTTTAATGCAAATAGTACATATATATTTATATACTCAGCAAATAAATAGAAACTAGGCACTCAAATGCAGAAAAACGCCATATTTAAGTTTTCCCTAGAGTAGTGTTTCTTAAACTGGCCCTCAGGGACTGTGAAATGGCCCTTATTCTTGCTCTAACCCCATGAGTCATGACTTCTGGGGGTCACTGCAGACTGATTTGAGAACCACTTTGTAAAAGACTTACTTACTTATATATGAAAAAATTTTATTTGCACTTAGAAACATGACAACAAAACATGTCAACAAAACATGTAATTTGACTGGGTGACTGTTCACACTTACATACCACTGTGTCCTCAAGTGTGGCAATATTAGATTTCTGTCCCCATCACTTACATAATGGAGACAGCGCCCAGCACAATACACTGTCACAGCCTTTAACAGGTGTACAGACAGCTCTGATGGGCTCAAACAAATGTCACTTCCTATTAGAGCGAGTGGGTGTCTGAAATGTCTCACAAACACACACACACGTCCACTTCACGCCCCCTCTTTCACTCATCAGAAGAGACACATGAATTTGCATGATGCCACTAAGCTGGAGAGACAAACACAGACACAAATAATTACAAAGGCGAGCGTACAGATTTGGCATCAGCTTAGCGTATGCGATGTTGACAGACGTGCAAACTCAGACGCAACACAGTATTGCCATCACTGCGCTGCCATACAGCTGGACAATTGTTTACAATCCAGCTCAGCACTGTTCTATACACTCCATACATCATACAGGTCTACAGCCCTGATCACACTTATGATTTAGACAGCAAACCATGGAAGACACTCAAATTACAATGAAGAATGGAAAAAAAGAAAGGTAGTCAAATACTCAGAACTGGGGAAAGCCATGTCATAATCTAACACCTCTGTTCACCATCACAGGCTCAAAAAAGTCAAGTACAACACTGCTATCAATTTCATCTTTTTTCCCTCTTGTACTATATATCAAGTCTTTTTTTTTTTCTTTCTCTCTTTCTCGGCTCTCCTCTCTGAACTTCTATCAGATGAATGTTCCCCTAGTGTAGACGGCAGGGTCATAAATCACTATGAAACAAACCCATCTTCTTCAACTCCAGAGATGACCTGCTCCGCAAGTCATGAAACCGCACTACTCTCTCTCTCTCTCTCTCTCTCTGTCTGCTTCCTACAGCGCTACTGTATGATTATTCTCCCACTGGGAAGTGACAAAAAAATATTTGCTCAGCCTCGCGCAGTTGTCCCTCTTCTCTCTCTATGACGTTCCATCCCGCGCTGAGGTCTCCGGGGGCTGGATACTATGACACAGCGATAGAAAATTCAACAGTATTGCAGGGTGCTTATAAGCTGATTCCTGATATGATTACAGTAGAGCAGCTCTTACTGAAGACTAGAAAAAAGAGGGAATTCACAGGCAGGCTGCTACATGCTGACTCAGATACACCAGGGATTGGCATTTTAACCATTTTTGCTCTTCAAATATCTACTACATCTACTATATCTATACATAATGTCTATTCTTTTTTTTTGGTTTCCCCAATTTTCTCCCCAATTTAGTCATATGTAGTTCCACCCACTAGTTAGTACTCCCCCACTCACACAATACCACCAGTGCTAGGAAGGCAAAGGCTAGCACAGGCTTCCTCCGAGACCTGTGAAGCCAGCAATCGCATCTTTTCGAACTGCCGCTCACACAAAGTCACTGGACAGCTGAACATGCTGGGAGGAAAGCACCAACCGCCAGATCTGGTACACCAGCTAACAGACATCTGCGTTGGCTAGCATCGCTGGTGATTGGGGGCGGGGTGGACTCCATGGATGGCTGCAGCATCACCAGAAATTGAACTTGCGATCTCCTTATGATAGGGCCAACGATTAGATGGTGGCGCCACTCGGGAGCCCCAAAAATGTCTATTCTTAAAAAAAGAGTATTCAAATATTCAAACTGGAAAATATTTACTGCTGTAAATAAAAAATGATGATACAAAATATTTAATACTCATTAACTGTGTGATGTTAGCATAAGAGGTAATCTGTGTCTGAAAGTTTGGTTGATTTGGTGATTTATCCTTATGTTTTAGGCAATCTGGCCTACAACTAGCATTTAATATGTTATATGTCAAAAGATTCTGTAGCACAGTATCGCGTCCCTCAGCCTCATCCAGTTGACAAAATTCATAATTTTCATAATTTGTCCATCAATATTCTGTCACTACAATACCCAGAATGCACTACACAAATACATCAATAAAAACCTCTAGAGATAACTGTGGCACCACAGAAGGGCAAACAGGCATGTTTACAGCAGCTGTAGCGATGGTTACACTTTTCATTTTGGCCATTTAATACATTGTTTGAACTACAGAACACTAACTTTCACAACACTGGAGAAATGTGTCATCCTTTTGTTTGAAATAGTTCCATATATTGCTGCCCTTAGATGTAGTCATTTTGCTTAACATGTCTATATTTAAATACCTGGCTGCATAAATTAATACTGCAGTGAGACATCCATATATCTGACTAATCGTGCCCCCACACACTTCACTGTGAGAACCTGAATCGTCTGCTGTCAGCTAGTGAGCTTCATATCCACAGAGCAATTTCTCAGCAAACATCAAAGCAGGTGACAAGGCAGATTTAAAAGTTTGGCACGCCATATGAAGAAGAACTTGGGCGGTTGACATAAGTAAGCAGAAATCCTGCAGCACTTAACTTTAAAAATCTGCCTGTTCCATTTTTTATCACACATTGGGAATGCACTCTAAAGCCTGGGTCACCAAGCATGCGGACTTTTATGATGGTCACCATGTCACAGCGGAGCATGTGGTAAAATTTTGATGACCGCTTGAGTCTGGCTGCGAGATTTGAAGCTTTAGCAGACACTCTGTGCAACTGGAGAGAAAAATCAACATTGTAGCTGCATCTTCAGCTTTGCCATGAAAAAGTAACAAGCCGACAGATAGCACAGACGGACTGAGAGAGAGAGTGAGAGAGAGAGAGTGACAGTGAAAATGAGAAAAAGAGAGAGGAAAAGAGAAAGGTAAACAGAGAGAGAGAGAGAGAGAGAGAGAGAGAGAAGAAAAGAGACAAAGAGAGAGACAAAGAACAAAAGAGGAGAGAGGAACAGATAAGGAGAGAGAGAGAGAGAAAGAGTGACCGTGAAAATGAAAGAAAGAGAGAGAGAGGAAACGAGAAAAGAGAAACAGAGACAGAGAAAGGGGGAGAGAGAAAGAGAAAGAGGTAAGTAGAGAGACAGAGGCAGAGCAACAGAGTGACGAGACAGAGTAACAGAGCGAGGATAGAGAGAAGAGAGACAGAGACAAAGAGGAACAGAGCAAAAGGGGTAAAGAGAGAAAGAGGAACAGTGCAAAGGAGAGAGAGAGAGAGAGAGAGAGAGAGAGAGAGAGAGAGAGAGAGAGAGAGAGAGAGATAAAGAGAGACAGAGACAGAGCAACAGACTGAGGAGAGTGAGCGGCTAACGTTATTGGTACATAAGAACAGTACGAAAGCTCATTTGCTAGCAGCCAGACTGCTAACCCTCATGGCTGAGTTGAGAGTTTAGAAATTTAGACGACTGACCAGCTAATTTGTTCATCTTCAGTTACTTAGCTAGCTAGGAAAAAAAGAGTTACCTTAGCTAGATAAGCAACAAAACTGTTAGTCTACAGTATTAATGAAGCAGCCCACTGACCAGCTAGCAAGATGTACACAGAAAGAGGGACCCAACCAAAAATTACTCCTGAGCAATGCCAAAGAAGAACCACTTTTGCTTCCCTTTAATTGAATTGTGCTACCTAACACTGACATAACCATACTATAAACATGTCATAGCAGGTGTCATATGCTGTTACAACAGATTAATACCGCCAACTGTCATGACATTTGTTGCAATGCTGTTGTATGTGTTGTTTGATGTCATGATGTCTAGTACTCTAACTAGAGTATGCTTAGCAAGAACCAAGATGTGAAGCTGTCATGACATTAAACATAATGGATTCTGTCATGACAATCACCAGTAATGGTAACATGACACTTTCAGGTTACTGGACATAAACCAGTACCATAACATAAATCATGGCTTGGTTATTTCAATATTATATAGCAGGGTTCCACTAAAGTGTTACTGAGTATTTTTAAAGTTTAAAGATCCTCCGCCTAAAATTCCACACAAACAAAGGCTCTACAGAGTTTATAGGTTTTTCCTAGACTTCTGTGTCCAAGCAAAAAGAAAGTTAAGCAGCTCTATTCTTAAGAGTGCATCCATGCTGGTCAGTGTTGATCTGCACAACCAAGAGTGCACGTTTCTGGCTTCTACCGCACTGTCAGAGAGTATGCAGGAGCAGTCAGTTTTCTAGCCTACACCCTGTCACACTGTGTGATCAAAGGATAGCGAACATCGCTCAGGACCTCTGGACTTCTCCTCCAGGCAGAAATTTTGTCTGCCATGGCGGAATCACAGCGAGACTTGGACAGTCTGACCCAGTTCATGACCATTTCACTTCATATTTCCTCAAGACCTTCCATCGTTTCGTTCCATTTTAGTCGTCCTTCCAAGAAAGGCTTTCTCATCCCTGTTTCTGATTACTTCGCCCTGTGTTAAGAATGAGTGCAGCTGAAAAAGGCAGCTACCCATGCGTGCAGGTCTGTACAGCCTCTCCTGAAACCAACAGCATCAAAGCCTATAATATCTACAGCTACATTTACACTACTGCCTTACTGCTTAATTCCAATTTTTCACTCAGATCCATTCCTTCTGTTTGTAAGTGATCCATACCTGTCAGCAGTGTGAACAGATGTCTGTCCTAAAAGGAATTTCGTGTGTACAGTTTGGAAAATTATTAACGTCATGCGCAAGATTTAATAGACAAAATATACAAAATCCTATACTTCAAGAACTGACAGATTATTTGTCATCATTGAATGATGAGAAGAGTGATATGAGCATATGCAAATCTCAAAAACAAAACAAAACAAAAAAAGACGTTGATTCTGATCTGCCTGTTATTACAATCACTTGGCCACGTCCTGTATGTGTATCTTCAAATCTAGGACCATACATGAGTGGCTCAAATCTGAACTGAAAGAAGAAAAAAAAATCATACAGCTCTGTTCACACAGCTCTGCAGAAATCAAATCAGATCTATGTTACATATATGTGTCACTTCAACCCTGCATAGCCAAAGTAAAGGGACATTGGTGTGCTTAGCTTACCCACGCACTGTGGGAGGGGGCTGTTCCACGCCCTCCTCTCCCCTCTGAGACACGTCAGCACCTCTGTACCCTTCAGAGTGTATCCCGGGTCACAGCTGTATGACACGGTGCTTCCTGCAAAATGACCCTTATCCTCACGCTTATAACCAAACTGAGGAACACCTGGATCCTCACATTTCACCAGCTCAAAACCTGAATATCAGAGAGAGAGAGAGAGAGACAGAGAGAGAGAGAGAGAGAGAGAGAGAGAGAGAGAGAGAGTAGTAAAAGGAGAAAAAGAAAGAAAAGTAAAAGACAGAGAAAAAGAGCAAAGAGAGAAAGAGAACATAGAAAAAAGAAAGAGAGAAAAGAGAAAAAGAGCAAAAGGAAAAAGGACAAAGAGAGAGAGAGATAGAAAAAGCAAAAGGAGAAAAAGCAAGAAAGAAAAAGGAGAAAAACAGAGAGAGCAAAGAGAGAAAGAAAACAGAAAAAGAAAGAAAAGAGAAAAAAGAGCAAGAAAGATAAAAAGAAAAGAAAGAAAGAGAGAGACAGACAGACAGACAGAAAAAGATGGTGGGAGAGACAGAGCAAGGAGAAAGAGAAAATAGAAAAAAGAAAGAGGTGCAAGAAAAATGAACAAAAAAGGAGAGAGATAGAGTGAGAGAGAGAGAGAAAGACAGACAGACAGACAGAGCAAACGAGGAGAAAGACAGAGTGAGAGAGACAGAGAGCAAAGAGAGAAAAAGTAAGAGTGAGAAATAGTGAGAAACAAAGACAGAGGGACAGAAAAATAGAAAAAAGAAAGAGAAAAATGGAAAAGAAAAAAAGGAGAGAGAGAAAAGTGATAGAAAGACAGCATGAAAGATAAATATGAGACAGAGAAAAAAAGGGACAGAGATTAGAGAGAGAGAGAGCGAAAGAAAGAGAGAGAGAGAGAGAGAAAGAGAGAGAGAGAGAAAGAGAGAGGGAGAGAGTCAGTCAGTTAGGGTTCTACCTGAAACACGGGTTCCATGCCGCCTCACAGGAGTCATTATAGTAAGGCATTGTGTGGAGATTAAACTCGTTATAGGAACAGTGAAGAAAAAAAGAGAATTGAAAAAGAGCTGTTCACAACAAAGTCACACACACAGGGATCCACTCATGTGGAATATGTGCGGGGGCCTCTATTATTCATGCCCACCTGAGGTTGCTATGGAGAGAGCTGGTAAGAGCTTGAATGGAGGTGTGCACCTACGGCCATGTGTGCATCTTACATGATCCTGCTGCTGTGATGGAAGCCGCGCGTTTGTGTGTGTGTTTTAGGCCTTTTATTTCAAAAATGAAATGAGTTCAAAAGGCTGTGCATGAAGCCCTGACCCTCATGTAATGTTGCATAATCGAAAGGCTATGAAAGAACAGACCCTCGCAGCTGGGTGATGAAATCTGCCTGGTGTTGCGCTGAAAGAATGATCCAGAGCACACAGCTGCTACTCACTGGTGAAGTGAAGCTCAAAGCCTTTGCTGGTGTTCTCACTGTTACTGATAAACTCCATGAACATAGTGCTGGACGTGCTGTTCAGAGTCACCTCCATCAGCTCTGTACCGGTGAAGACGCCCAGCAAGCGGGCACCGTTACTGTTGCCATCGTACACCTGTAACACAAACACAGAGCTTATATTAGGGATGTCACAAACAGATTATATTGCCCTGATCCCAGTCTGAGGAATGTAAAGACAACATGAACTGGAAATCATAGTGCATTTTCCTTCTTTACTGTGAGGTACAGTACTGTGGCTAAAGTTTTAGGCACCTGAGAAAATTAGTTTTAAAAACTATTTATGAGAGCAATAAGTGTTTATTTGCTCCTTGAGGAAGTCCAGTATTATTTGTACTTATCATCCAATACCTGGTTTGGCGAATGAGTGCTTTATTATGTCAAATGAGGAGTGCTGGTGACAGAATTTAATAGATACATGCAATAGATGGGGACACTGGGGAGAAATCTGGAACCAAACTTTGTTCTTCTAACCAGCTCTCAAGATACCAACTACTTTTTTGCAAATAAGACACTCTTGTTCATTGTTACTGTGTTAACTGCTATTTGCATTTATTCTAATATTCTACAGTCTTTATACAAGTAACAACACAGTTACTGCTGAAATTAGTGATTTTAAACAATCTATTTAGGTGCCTGACCTGTCTAGGGTGTATCCAGTTTTCCGCCCAACGACCGCTGGGGTAGGTTCTAGCCCCCCTCCATGGCCCAGAAGGATAAGCGGTTTAGAAGATGTGTGTGTTTAGGTACCTAAGACTATTGCACATTGCTGTATTTCCAGGTACATCACAGTATTAGAGGGGGTTGCTGAGCTAGCATGGTGGAATGAATAGGGGTGATGGGAGGAGGTGAAATACATTATTGTGTAAAATATTTTTTTCACCCACTGGTGCACAATGATGAAATCAAAAATGAGACGTTTTAGAGAGAAGCCACAGTCATTACACTTTCATGGAAGATTACAGAAAAATAAGGATTTTAATTTTTGAACGGTAAGATGAAGCGTTAATGTCAAGTTGATTTTAAAATCTAGTGTCTGCCTAGACTGTGATTTGTATTTTTGTAAATAAGCCTCATACAGTAGGAGGAACTTAAAGAACATTAACATTAGTAAAACCAGTGCAATTAAGGTAAAACATGATAGGCTGTAGCTAAGCCACTTTAAAATCACTTCATTTATTATGTGCATAGTGTGACACTCTAAACCCATATGTTTTGTAGACTGTTTATTTTCAAATGACAATTTTTATGGTGTCTTAAATACATTACATATTTCAAGTTCACCTAATATGCATAACCGGGCAGTTTCTAAACATTTGGGGGGCAACATCTTACTTAGGGATCCCCACCGACCTCATTTATTTTATTTTGCATTAAAGACTGAAAAAGAATTAATACTTTTAAAAATACTTGCTAAGGTAAACATTAACTATAAACCATGCAAACAGAATCTTTAAACTACTGAAGCGCCAACAGAAAGAGAAAAGAAATAGACAATAAATAAAACAAATAAAATAAAAATATACATATGGAAGAAAAGCCATCACCAAAGACTCTGAACAAAAAAGAATGTCCTTAATGCATAAAGTCACTACTCCTTAGTTTCGGGTTTGAAAGTGCAGGTACTCTTACTGCTAAGCATGTAATGTTTGTGCGCTCACATTTTACAAGTGTCTGTTTTCATAGCTTCACACTGCAGATGTTTAAAGCACTTATTAACCTCTGAGAACATGCCACAGCAGTAGATAATGTCTGTGTGGCACCTCTACAATAGTGTTGTAAATAGAGTGCAATGGGAAAAAATAACATTAACAACGGATCAGACTTATTATAGCCAATGCCAGTTCATTAAAATACGCCTGAATTGGCTCTGACACTATTCTGACATCTCTGACCCATGTATGTTTATGTCAGTATCTTTTAGGTCCATACATTGGTACACAATTCCATACAACAAATTTACAGAACCCCCCTCATAAAATATACACCATACCATCAGCATGTCATCCTCCTCCAGGCGGAAGTCTCTAGCCCGGAGCTGGATGCCCTTGCCAGGCTGTGTCTGGATGGAGTAGATGCACTCGTGATTGTTGCCATAGTAACCGGGGTAGTTTGGTGAGAGGAGGACTCCTTGTTTCCCCGTCACGGAGGAGCCGCACTCAGCTGGACAGAAGAGAGGTCAAATGATACATGACCCCTACCTGGGATATGACCCCCCACTAACACATCCAAACACTCATGCAGCAGACTCACGCTGGGAGAGGGGGGAACTGATTAAACATGGCTAGAGTCGTGCACTATTTTTTTTGAATATTTACATAAACAAGTGCATCAACAAATTTGTCCTTATCTCCCTGACTGGTACCAAACAGGATATTCTGATTAACATTTGCCATTTGCTAGTTTTTACTTTTTTTCCCTAACCTAAATAATCCCTTGCGTACCCCTTGTGTACGAGGCAGAAGAACTGACTAAACTCTTACTTATTAGGAAATCACTTGACCTAGTTTCACGAGAAATATAAACAAATAAACAGAAACCGTCAGCCAGACGTTGCCAAAATATATAAAATGTAATTACTTGCTTCAACTGAAATGTCAAAATCACAACATAAACCAATTACTTTCTAAGTTTAGCACTGCCAGCCATTCTGCCACTGAATAATTAGGGGAAATCTGGCCTCCGAGATATTTCACAGTTTTATTGATACAGATTATGTTATTTGTCACAAATGGAATTTGGCTTTCTTTTCCGCTGTATTTTGGAAAGATGGGTTCAACAGTTTTCCAGCAGTTTTACATCATGCACTGGCTTAGTATAAACCTCCACCTCCAGATGATTAGTCTGCGCGTGCGCATGTATAAATATGGTGCACCTGATTTCCCCTGCGTTCTAATCAGTGAACAGTGCTGCTGGGGGAGGGGAAGTGTACAATATAAATAGTGAACAAAGCAAAATAAAAAGCATGTGACCACCTACCAACACACCTTGGGAGAGGGGAACTCCAGACCCGCCGCCGCCCCCCTAAACACACCACCCTCGCTGGCCCCTCCAACCGGTACCCAGGGAAGCAGGAGAAGATGAGCGCGTCCCCCACCCCGAACTGCAGCCCTTTACGGGTGCTGAAAGGAGGCACGCCAGGGTCCTCACACGGCTCTAGATCATACTCTAAACAGAGGCAGAAGAGAATGGGCACCATCTGAAACCACTGTTTTGTCCCTTTGGGATGCACATCTGGATATTTTTTTAAAACAAAGTAGCGCAGTGGGTTCCAGCTCTGGTCCTGGTGGGCTGAAATACAGCACTGTTTGATTTGTCTGCTCAAACACTGTTTACTCAAAAAACTGATGATTAACTGATAATTAAAACTGATAGTTAACTAATAATTGACTGATATTAATGGATAATTAAAACTGATAATTAACTGCTAGGTTTAATCAGTTGCGTTTGAGAAGAAAAATCACAAAAGTCTTAATCAGAGTATTTTGACCTACAATATCTAGGGTATCACAAGAGCAAAGAAGAAAAAAAATTGTGAAGAATTGTCAACATTGCAGGCAATATTATAAAGAAACTCCAGACACAGTTGCCTGAAGGAAATATTTAAAGGGCCTCATGGAAGACTTTATTTTCCTTGATTTTTTTTATAATAAAAGAGTGTGATGAAGTATGTAAACATTGTAAAAATGTACCATTCACTTACCAGTCCATACAAAACAAAGCTACAAAATCAGCCCTTTTTGAATTCACTGGTTTTGTGATGTCACAAAAATCACAGCAGTTTAGCCCCACCCACTCAGACTGAAGCTGTAAGGAGTAATTAGCATGGACTGCTTTTCTTTTTTTTTTTACTGTGCTGGATTTACCCAAACGGCTAATTTTCATTTGGAGGTTGATGTTAATATTAAAATGATAAATGCTGGTATATAAAGACACACAAAAGATCTTCAAGAGTCCTCATATGCACTTTTAAGTGAATTTGTCAAGGCTGTTTGAGAGGAATAACAATATAAAAAGAACTGCTTTATTCCCCAAGTGATTTTGGAAGATTTAATTTAAACTTATTTATTCATCCCATTGCTACAATCACTTCCCTTAATAACTGTTTTTTTCTTGTTGTTTTTCTTTCTAAACTGTGTGGGACTAAGTCTTCAGCTTCAGGACTGAAGCTGCATACCTTGTTTAGGTAGACTGCTGAAATGAGAGTTATTAGGATCTCCATACCTGAGAAGGTGATGTTGAAGCCCTCGTAAGAGACAGAGAAGTCAGAGAGGAATCGGATCTGAGCAGTGTAGTTCCCAAACAGACCAGCACTGAGAGGAGGGGGCAGAGTAGAGCCGGTCAGTCTCCACAGTGGCTGAGAGAAACTACCATTCTCTGTCACCAGCAGATAGTCATGAGGACTTTCCAGATGAAACGTGTGGAATGTAAACTGGACACCTGGCAGATGAAGAAGGCAAAGGAACCAGTTAGAAAGGATATATCTATCTAGTACCTTTTATTCTGAGTGCTTTTTAGTACAAGTAACTTGTGTTATTTACATGTTCATATTATGAATATCTAAACCTTGTAACTCATTTTTTGCTAGTTTTTGATTTCCATTATACACTATTTGAAACCACCATGGCCGTCAAAAATAAAAATCTTATCACTTTAACTTACATTAAAAGTTAAGAATAAATTCACCTTCTTTTGAAAAGTTGCCATTTACAACGTTTTGTTATGACAGTGACATGTTACATTACCATGTGTATGCATCTGTACTACTGCCAGTGCAGATGAATGACAGCAGACCTGTTTATTCTTTGATTTTCAGCCTTAAGTGGTCATTGTAGTTAATAAACAAGCTATTCTGAATATCCATAATGTCTGTGCTGTGTGTGTCCTCTGATTACTTCACACACCACAGCAACTTAAAAACAATTTTCTTCCAGGATAATAAGTGCGAACTGCAAAAAGTTAAGCCCATTTACCTTTGCCATGTGAGGTCTCAATCATCCAGGTGCAGTTGAGGTTGTGGGGGTAGAAGTCTGGAAAGCCGGGCGACAGAATGGTGCCAGAGTTTCCCTGAATAAACCCACCGCAGAGAGCTGGGGAAAGGGGAGTATTTGTTAAAACATAGCACCTCCCACTGTTTTCACAATGCACTTAAACTGAGTTTACAAGAGGTGCCCTTCTGAAGGACATAAACATATGGAGGCAAATTATTCCTATCATTACCCAAAGGGAAAAATCAATAATGGCCCTAAGTATAAAAGCATTTATGGTGGAATAAGAGCACAGGGTGGAAAGGGTAGCGCCAATCCGTAAAAGACCCTTCCAGTCTGGAAGCAATGACGCCGCTAGGATAAATGACCTGTCTCTAATTTGTCCTTTTTCTCCAAGAGTAGCTATTTTATATAGGCAGAGCTGGGCCATACCATCGCAGCTGGGGAGGGGCCGATTCCACTGGAAGTTCGGTTCGCATTCCAGAGGCTCAGGGTCACTCAGTGTGTATCCTGCTTCACAACTAAACGTCACTAGCGCCCCCACGTAAAAGTCGTTGCCGTGCCGTTGGCCATTGACCGGGATCCCAGGGTCAACACAGTGGTCTGACTGCAGCTGCAAGGCTTTAGAAGAGATTTCACAAACAACATTACTCAAATGCGTATAAACAAACAGCTATTATTTTCTGCTGTTAGTGAATAAATTAAGTGAGAAAAAGCAAAGCTAGTCTTACATCAAACCGCACTGTGTTAAAATACAATGTGAACTGTGATCATAAATACATTACCAAACAAAAGTTGGGGATACCTTGACAGCCATTGACATTTTCTGAGTAATGATTGATTTTCACTGATGCTTTTCAATTAAATAAGATAAAAAGCTCTTTTTGTTAATATAAAACATCTATTTGCTAATACTTGGGGTAAATTTTGCAGCACTCAGCTTCATGGTCCTCAACGCATTGCTCTTGGTATGAAGAGCAAGTATCGATTCAACATTTTTTTCTTTCTCCAAAACATTATAGAAAGCATATATTGAACATCTTTTACTCTAAAGGAGGTTAAATACCTGAAACGTTGAGTGCAGCTGAGTGCTAACAGCGCCAGGGGATAAAATGTGTTAGGTATGTCATTATTCCCAGTGCAGTGCTTTTGTATGTTTTTCTTTCAGTTTTGCAGTTTTTGCATAGGCAATGGATCTAAACAGCCTTCTAATGAAATATACCTTTACTATGTTAAGTTATTGCAAGTTGACAAAAAAAACATGCTTATTTATTAAAACTATAGACTGTCAATGTTAACGCATCCATGTGTTAAATTATTAAGGCCACTAGTTTTTAAATGCTAATTAAGAAAGGCTCATACAGCATTTTACAAGCTTTGAACACTTGGTGGCATTTCTGAACAAGTACTTGAAAAGACAATATTTGAAGCAGTTTTAATTGTCTGTCTGACTAGACAGGTACACTTCCATTTTAATCCAATTTAATTTCTTTTCAGTCCACACTGGCTGCGCCATACACTAGCCCTTCTGACCTTTTTTGTGTCCAGTCTATTATTAAGTGTATATAATATAAACTCCATAGAGATTAAGCTACATCATATACTCATTTTGTAGCATTTTATAGTGTTATAAACTCTATACAACATATTTTATATATTTATTTTATATATCTTTAAAATAATAATTTACTAATATGTGATTAAAATGTGCTTCTGTGCTGTACTGACGTGTGATGGCTAATCTTCTATCATACCTACAGTGTTAAAGATCTTGTGCTTGTGATTTTGTCGTAATAAATTGATCTCTTGATTAATCATGACTAACAACACAAAATAATGTGATTAATCGCATAAATTTATTTTAATCATTTGAAAGCCCTATTAAAACACACTTTTGACAGGTGGTGTATACCATAGCAGACCTCTGTTCTGCAAGATATGGAGTGTGGTCCCAATCGACACATGCAAAACCCTTCTTCTTGTATCTTTCTAGTGCCACTGCTCTCATATAAGCTTATGTCTCAAATAACATCTACAGCACTTTCTGCTTGTACTGCTGTTGCTTTCAATAACTTCACCCAAGCTGGGATTTATGGAGTGACAAAGAGAAAAGGTTAACTCCACAAGAGTCACACATATAAAACACCAGTCGACATTTAAACTCCAAACACAATGCAGCTTTAGTGTGCGCTCGTGTATGCGGTGTGCGCCTCTGTGCGTATATTCCCGGGCTGCATTTGCATGTGCGTGCAGGCGTGAGCACCTGCAGATCACTAGAATTAAAACAATCACCATCCTATTATTTCATAATTATAACCCCTGACTGAAATCATTGCATAGTAACACTACAGCATGTGGTGATCATTTTTAATGATACCTTAATATTTCCTTTCATTTAGCCCTTGATAGTAGGCACTAAGAAATTCTCCACTTTAATTAGTAGCCTCCGATAACACACTGATACGTATCATGGAGGAGATAATATCATACTTCATCTAAGTATCATTAATTGAACAGAAATGATTTAGATGAAATAAACAGCAAAAGAACTCATGCGTCGTGGGAAAAAAAGAAAAAGGACTAAGAAGAAAAAAAACACTAAGTGCCTGCAACATATAATCATTTGGCTGAACAAAAGTCCATACTTTCATATCTGATGCGAAAGCCGATGTCTGAATGGCTCTTGTCAGTGGAGAAGAGCAGGTACAGGAAGTTGGAGGTGCTGATGAGGAACTGCGGCACTTGGGTACCTTGGTAACTACCAATCAGAGGCGAGGAGGGATAGCGCCCGTCCCGCACCTCCAGAACATCGTAATTCACCTCCGTTCGGAACCTGTGGATGAACACAGAAGCATAGAAGAGTGCAACAGCCACAAAGAAGGAGGCTAAATGCTTTTTTGAGGGGGTGTAGGGACCATGGACAGCTCCATCACAAGAGGCAGACTCGGTGCAGCTGCTATACCTTATTTACAGCTACAGTAGAGGGGGAAACATCACTCAAGCTGTGAGCCAAGCACGCTCAGACACGGAGCAGACTGCGTGTCCTGCAGCAGTGTGCTGAAGCCTGCTGCTCGCCACGTTCCGGCGCAGGCGGAGCACAGAAGTTTCAGCTCCGGGCCTGAGCAGCCTGCTTTCTGATGAATAAGTAATCGAGAGAGGCACATGCGCACACGCTGATGTACAGTACTGTGCAAAAGTCTAAGGCCACCTGAGAAAATTAGATCTAAAGCTGTTTATGCAGTAAATGATTATTTGCTTGGCCTTTAGAATAAATACAAAAAGTCTTTAATACAATAAATTAAAATTTGAGTCCGTCAGTGTTAACTGTTTACACATCTCTGCTTTATGTTTTCTATCGCTATATAAAGGTAGCATGCTAACACTGGAGCTGATCAGCGCAGTGTTATATACTGAGGAAGACTCGTCATCTTTCAGCAAACTTTAATGAAACACTACAAATGATGGTGTGTGTATGAGTACGCTGATATTTATCTTTACACCAAATGCTTTTAAATGCATAATCCTGTTTATTCTGACTTAATTTATCAAGCAAATTGTCACCACCCAAATAAAGAAAAACTTAACATTGTTTTGTAACATTATTTATGGTTAGATATCATTTTAACCCCTTAAATGTCCAGGGCTCATCGGTAGGCCCTAAGTTTTACTAAACACTTTCACCTATGAACGGCTCAGCTAGTTTGCCCTGCAGTCCATGTAGTTACTGAATAATAAGCCTTAGTATAAAAATAATGCTGGGATATTAAGGGGTTTAAATCAGTGTTAGCGAATACAGTAATCTAGTTAAAGAATGACTTTGAGCAAACATGGGTAATGCAATGGATGTTAACAGTTTTGACATTAATCTGTGGGCATGGTCTTCTAAACAGTTCAATCCAAAACTTTTTCAGCATTGAGAAGACCTTTTCACCATCTCAGCCTAATAATTTGGATGACTTTACTGCTTCCACCGCTTTCACTGCAGGTTTGTTCTGAGGACTTTTATTAGAAACTTTTATTTGCTTGATGGCTGAGAGGTACTTTAACCATGTTTTTGCAAACAGTCAGTTCTTGTGCAATTAATCACTATGGTCAAAACTTTTTTGAAAACCAAAAAAAAAAAATGTTTGTTACTTTGTAAATTCTTGTTACTAGCGCTTCAATGTCTAATTGGATTTATTCTAGTGTTATATAGTGTTTTTACAAGCAAAAATTTACTTTCTCTCAAGAATACACATACAATCTTTGACTTTTGCACAGTATTGCTTGCTTATGTGGGTGCAGTAGCTTAGGGTTGCCATTCATTCCTCTCCTCAGCATGTTTAAACAGGGGTCTGGGGGAAGGGGCACACTCCATTGGGAGTTTACACCAGTTCCGCTGTGATGAGATCAGTTCATATAACTACATCAATCTGTCCATCATAACATCATATTATGTTAGCAGAAGCTGCCAGCGCGTTTGCTCTCACACTAATCAGTGATATGAATAAAATGTGCCATTTCTGAGAGAATCTGGCCAAATGGAGCAGAACGACATGTTTTATTGATGCTACATAAAATCAAAGAGCAACAAACATTTTTGTTATATTCATTTTTCATGTAGATCAGACAATCATGTTAACGGCAGTGATAACTTAAAACTGTCCAAGTGTACACAAGTGTAGTCTGTGCACTGTTAATCTGGGGAACTGCAATCCTCTGCAGCCGACTTGGAGGATCCTGCCCACTCACTATGTATGCAGGCCATGTCTGCAGCATATATAATGGGACAATATTGTTTAAAAGAAAACATATGACATCTATAAGATTATTTAACATTAATACATTTATGACTAATTGATGTCATTGTTGAATAAGTTACTCTTTTAGTCTGAAGCTACACTAGAAAGCTTTAAAGAAGCTCACTTGTCAAAGATGATCTTGATGGGGTATCCAGGTGGAGCCTCGATAATCCACTCACAGTTGAGGGCTTCTTTATAGAGCTCAGGCCACCCTGGGGACAGGATGATGCCACTGGGGGCTTTCAGGTCTCCACCGCATGGAGCTGAGGAACGAACAATGGGTCAGCAATGACAGATTCCAGACCAAACTGTTTCTTCACATATTAACCTTCAATAATCTTTAGGAATTACTACAGTAACTTTTCCAGTTCCCTACAGACTTTGCATGTAAAGTGTGGCAGATAAGAGACGCCATCTTAATGTGATTGACATCACCTAGCATAACCTCTCAGGCAGCTTTTGTCTGCCTCACTGAGCCAGATCCCCACGGGCTGGCTCCTTAGGGCCTTTACTGAGGATGATCTTATAAAACAATCCAGGCTGTTTATACATACATATGCAGTCCCAAAAACTGCAAGAGATTGATCAATTCCAACTCTGTTCCATAAATTTAAATCAGTGTATTAGTATTCAAGTGAGTTTATCATGTTCTTTTGCAGCTTTAGTTGTTTTTCAACAGCAGGGTTAATGTAGCAAGCCTTAAAAGTTTGAAAATAACTTTGGAAAGCTATAATTACTAAGTGATCAAACCAACAGGTGTTTTGTCATTGAGTGTGTTGTTGTGTTCGAGCATGTGTGTGATTCTGCATGCATGAAAATGCAGTTGTACACAGCTGTGGCAAAAATCTCTGGTCCTGTTTAGATCTGGTTGTTACATTACATATGGATACAGTATACTTATGTATATTTATGAGGTTGCCAGCCTTATCATGCCAATTCAGTGTGCAGCAGTGTTAGCATGAGGCAAAATTCGTGTCCTTAACAACCTCATAATTTAGGAGAACAATGGGTTTTGGATTTGGAACCTTTTTTGAACCACAGCATGACAGCATTGACTTTCAAAAATCTCATTAATTTTTACCACAGAAAAATTTAGGCTCAATCTGAATTGGTCAATTGGTTGTTTAAATGAGCTGTTTTGCATATTACGGAGCATATATTATATATATATATATATATATAAATCACATTAAATGCGCAGGTCTAAACAGGGTCTCTGTGTCTTTAAGGTAGATGATATCATCAAATGACTTGAGCACACTGAAGGGCATCTATGAATAACACAATACATAATAAATGGCAGAAAATGATTTATCATCGCCACACTGGTGGATTTTATTAAATAAGGACACATGTTTTAATAACGAGACAGTTTGCATCGCATAAAACAAAAAGCATTAAAAAAATGGGGCAGGGATTCTCTATAAAAAACGCATTCCTCGAATATTTCATTAGAGTTGTATAAAATGTGGCAAACGGGATATTTTGTATGCTCTCACAGTCTTAACACCTCTCAGCAGACGGAGAATCCTAAATAAAGTTTTCATGGCTGGATTTACACGGCATATATTTCATCCCCATATGCACATCCGGGAGACAACATTTCTCAAGGGTTCCTGCTGCTCTGACATTTAGGTTGCAAGCAAGAATCTTGTTTATGCGGGTGTATCTGAGTATACTTAATGAAAAAAAATGTAGGGAGCGTCATGAGGCTTCAGCGGTACGCTAAACATTGTATTCAGAGGGCAGATTGTGCAGTTCTTTATGTCTGCAGATGTACCAGGAAATACTAGGGTATTACAAAGTTACAGAGGATAAAATTTAAATTATTACTTGTCATCATTAATTATTACTTATCATTTAATTACACTGTAATATCAACAGTTATTGCATGTAGAACTAGTATACAAGTATATGTGCCAAATTGAGTTTACCCAAAAAATGCAATATATATACTTTTTTGAATATGGTGTTGATGGACATTGTCTCACAATGCCATGTGAAGTGGAAAGGAATGAGCTACTCATAGCTGGAAATGTTTGAAAACATGGACGTTGCTGGGATTTACTAGCTAGCTAATGGGATTAAGCTGAAACTTAAGTACAAGATCCTCTGCTAGACATAATGATAAACAAAAAATAAATTAATAAATCCACTTTATTTAAGGCGCAGGCATAATGTAATGTTGGCACAACAACAACAACATCACTGCAAATTGATGCAGTACATTAATAATCTGCATGAAAGTGCCAATGGACTCCTTTTAAAATATTATACCAAGTAATTTTCATGATGTAAAGCTCAGATCACGTAATCTACTATTGATTTTTAGCAAGATGATGAGTGATGCTCAGTCACGCTGACATTGAGCAACAGTGGAAGTCAACGACTGATGGCGAGTGCCGACACTGGTGCTGGCAGCAGTGTGTACATCTTCACTGAAAACAATGGCATCAAATTTTTGGATGCTACGTGTCAGCCGCCTCACACGTCTGGTATGTGGTAGCTTTTAGATTAGTACATAGTTTATATCTTGTAGCTTTACTGTTTACAACTGGGACAGAGCACTTGACTATGGCTCACTGTCCATTTCTGTTTGATTTTAACAAATACCAACCTTCACAGCGTGGCACAGCATTGTCCCATACCACGTTGCCGTCTTTGAGGATGCAGGAGATGGTCTGAGAGCCATGGGTCTTCACAAAGCCTTCCTCACACAGGAAGGAGATGGAGCTGCCGAGTTGAAGGCTCTCCCCAAAGCGCTTTCCATTGACAGGCACGCCAGGGTCGGGGCACTCATTGTGCCGAAACGCTGGAAAAGAGAGAGCAGACCAAAACAGCTTAGCTGTGACATGTAAATAATGCAAAGGCCAACTTTATGAAAAACATATATATATATATATATTATATATATATATATATATATATTATATATATATATATATTTCATTGGGGAACCCTCAGGGCCTTACAGGGCTTAAGAGATATCAGTTTTACAGTTTTATTTAAAAGAATCATTATGTGTGCTGTTATTACAGTACTACCTCTTATTTTTTTATAGAATTTTTGTTCAGTTTTGGTTGGAAACAAAAAGGCCCAATGAAAAAATCCGAATTTTTTTCTGTGTTATCTAGGTAGGTATGGGCTAGTGAGCTCCCCCACTGGTTAGGCCTTCAGAAGCTGAACCGAAGGCCTTACATGTTGAGCACACTGGTCCAAGATCATTTTTGAGATTAATTTGTGAGATCATTTTTGTGAAGTAGAGTGATGGTAGTTTATATTATTGACATTTTTCATCAACACGACACCAGTCATACTCCCTTGTCATTACAAGGTAAAACAGAAGGCGACTGTGTGTTGAGCTGTGCCAAAAGGAGTTTCTGTCAGTGTGCAGCAGCATTTAGAAAAGCAAGACTTCATTACATTTTATTTGAATCAACATTATGGGGTTATTATCTATTTACACCACGAAGTGTTGACACATGTAAATCCTGCTAATCAAACTGTTTAATTTTTGTGAATATGGTAAGACTGCATACTCTCTGTACCTAGTTTCTAGTATGACCCCTCCCCCCACTCTTTCAGATCCAATCTGCACCCCGATTAGCCTCCAAGAAGAATATGAAGTGACAGAATAATCAACCGTGATTATTCGGCAACTTCTCTTTATACCTTTAAATGAGCCGTGTGTGTTACTGCGTTTACAGATATATGTAAACATAACAGAGCTGACTTGCTGCCCTGTTTTGTCTCATTTAAAAAGCAGTCTAGGCCTAGTTTCCATATCCAGACTGTATGGATGGCATGTTTTAAAACTTTAACACTGTTTACACATTACATTGATCTCTTATTTAAAAATGGAGTAAATTTGGTTCTCCATGATATGGGCCCTATGATCCTTAAATAAATACATAACAAATAAACACTGTGTTTTAAGCGTACTTTTGCAAGTTGCAAATATATGTGATTAATGTGATTAATCTAAAGCAGCCAAAACATTTTCATGTGCATAATATTAGAAATCCCATGATGCTTAAACAGAAATTAAGATTACCACAGAGATGTTTTTGTTTTTCATGTGTTTTTTGACATTTACTATGGTCCAATCTGAAGACCTACCTCTAACAGTCATGGTTTGCCACTGATGTGATTATAAATAAAAGTCACAAAGTCTGGATTTTGCTTGTGGGCAGGTCAGGCTGACTAACCACCTGTCTTTGCAAAATGTAATTTTGCCTGACAAACGAATACTAATGCATGAATAAATAGTACTCATAGTAGTATTTCTACCAGCCCCAATGGCAAAAAAACACCATCACACTATGCATTGTATTCCAAAACCATTCATAAAGATGACGGAGCGATCTTGTGACTCTTTATGTAAAACCATGAAGAATGTGCTTGTAGTCAGGGCTGTACTTGCCTGCTTCTAGTGTAATAATCGACTCTTCAGCTTCTATTGTTCTGGTGTATAAAGTTCTAAGTATTATATTTAATAATCCCACAATAATGAGTGTACTGTATGAATTATTAGTAGCTGTAGAGCTACTAGGGGAGGTGATGATAGCACAGTGGTTTAAGGCTCCATTGTTAACATTGCTATCCTGAAGATTTAGAGGTTTGAATCTCAGCGCTGCCAGCAGAAAAGTGCACAGAGCCCCGGGTCTGCACACATGTGATCAAGGAGAACAGAAGTCAACAACAGCTACACACCATGATCATGTACTTTATCAAGGAGATTAATCTACACATGCTCTACCGTGAGCTCTGAAACCCTCTCTCTCTCTTTTTTGGCTATGCCTCTGCTTCAGCCAAACTCTCCATTTGGAGCACTTAAGCATGCACATTCCTTTATATTATCGATCCAGCGCCCCTCTGCATTGTACTCAGGTGGAGTTGGACCTGCTCAAAAGGTTATGATTTTGTAAAACTGCCAAATTGTTCACGGCTATGGCTTCTTAATGAATTAGACGAAAGAACTTCCTGCACGGATGGAAAACTTTTCTGCTTGTCATCTCTGTTCCACAAATAAACTAATTCATTTCACTTAGCATGCAGTATTGATTTATATGCGCCTAGAAGTTACTTGGTTGATTAGGAAACATTCGGGAAATGCTCGCTGCATGTTGATGGGACTTAAGAGAAGATAAATCGTCACTTTCAGACAGAATTGTTTCAAAAAAATAGAAAAGAAAAAAAAACTTTTATTGCTTATCACTTTCCATCTCCCTCTCGCGCCCGCTCTCTATCTTTTCCTGGGCTTCTTTCTTCCTCTCACTCTCTCTCTCTCTCTCTCTCTCTCTCTCTCTCTGTCTGTCTGTCCATTCACACCAGAGGCTCGAAATGTGCTTTTGTGATGAATCCTCACTCTGATTCGCAGCACCCAAACAGACTGTGTACCTCATCCATCACCATCACTCTATTTATTAAACTGCCAGCCAGCCCTTCAATGGAGTTTGTCGTGCTCTTAATTAACATGAGCGATGGGACTCTCCCGCCCAATCCCAAAAATGGGGTACAAGGGGAGTCATGTGACACAGGATTCGTTTTCAGCAGCTATAATTAACTGGTGCTTCGTTTCATTAGATACTCGGAACATTATTCTGTAAATGTGAATCTAAAACTTTAGTTTCACTGCTCCAGAAAGTCTGGATATCTGCCTACACTATTAAACGGCCTCTCTTTCTTGTGTTTTATTTGATTTTGAGGTCCACTTATGTTCCAAAAGCAGTCATAAATTGTTCTTACATGATCATTTTCCAACCTCTCTTTGTCCCTTAAAATTAAACTGGCTGTTTTTGTTCCTGTGCCTTAAAGACAAAGTAAGTAAATTATCTCTGCTCTGATTGGCTGCCCTGTCCTGTGTCTCAAAAAGCAGTCTAGGCTGAAACACTCCTTATAACTTCAGTATGAACGGGTGGAGTTAAACTGCTGTAAGCTGAATAGGTTGAAATCTGTGAATGTGCTGGTTTTCATGACATCACAAAGACAGCCAATTTAAAACAGGCTGTTTTTTTGTATTTTAGTTTCCATAGATTTGAGCACAAGTGAACAGCACATTTTGCATCTTTCACAATGTTTACATGCTACATCAAACGTCTTTATTTCAAAAAAGTTAGGCAAACAGGGTTTTTCATGATATGAGCCTTTTAAAATAAAGGTGCCATAAAGAATTGTTTGAAGTGATGCCACAGAAGAACCACTTTTATGGAGCCCATATCATGCTAAAAAAGCTCTCACTTTTTAAAATTTGTTTGATATAGTATGTAAACATTATTAATTTCAAAATACCTTTCACTCCACATGTCACAAAAACTGTCTAAATATAGCCATCTATATTTACATATATCCACTAGGTAAAAGTGAATGATGACTGATTTTGGTACATTACCCCACACAAACGTCATTGCTGGACCTCAGTCCAGTGGAAAAAGTGGAAAAGATTTTAAAAAATACCAAAAAAAATTCCAGCACGGGTTCTTTGAATTATCTCCACACAATGTAAATGTTCTACACCAATTAAAGTTTTTTCTAAAACTCTATGTCCAAGCAAAGAATCATTACGGAGCCTTGTATTTGTAAAAGTGCAGTCACGTGTGCTGTCCCTGCTGGGCTACACTCAGTGTGGGAAATGAAAGCGAGAAGATATCTGGATACATACAAAGACTTTAAGATATGCTGAGTAGGAACAGAGAGTGCTGAAACCACAACGATGCTTCTTTGGGAAATGAGAAAAAAAAATCAGGCAGACATCTTTTGATCTTAAAATAACAAACAAAAAACTCTCAAATGCCTCCTAGCTCCGGCTGTATGAACACAATCACTAAAAGGTTTTGAGGGCAAGATTTTAGAGGATGTCTTTTATCGTGCCTGGCTGAAAAAGCTGAAAACACAAAAGTACATTCTTTTCAAAAATGAGCACATGCATGAAACAAAAGAGGATAATATGTTTGTGACATGAATATGAATAAAGGAGATTGACAGAAAGAGTCGAGAGTTTTTAATAGTGCCCTGAATCAGAATTTGGTCCATTATAATAAAGACCAAAGAAACGATTCATGCTGCTCACAATTATGCCAATTATACACAAAAGTTGTTCTTATTAAAGTTTACAATAGCAAAAACTTTCCAACAAACACAAGAAACAATGGTTTCTTCAGAGAAACTGCAGTAAAAACTAAAAAAGGCAGAAAGCTTACTGGTGAAGGTGATGTTGAAGCCACGGTCTGTGTACGTGTGGTCTGTGAGAAACTCTAGTCGTGCCACATGCCCGCTGGTGGTGATGGGTGAGGGCAGCACGTCACCAGAAAAAGTGCCCAAAATGGGCGACTCGGCCTTGCCCCCATCTTTGATGGACAGGAAGTCGAACTGTTTCTCCATGCTCAGGTCGTTGAAGGCCAGGTTGATGCGGCTCTCCGGCTTAGCGATGATCAGCCACACGCAATGCATGTTGTTGCCGTACTCCTGAGGGTAGTTGGGTGACAGCAAGACTCCAGATGGAGTGGTGAAGTTAAAGAAGCAGGAGACTGTGAAAAGAGCAGGAGAGGACATAAGAAAGGGCGCCTAGAAATATGCACTGACAAAAGGTGACTCAGACATTGACTTAATTCATGATGCACAGCTTGGATGTTTGTTTCCAGAAACACGCATAATGTACACTTTCCATGAGGTGATGTGACAATTTTCGGCATAGCTGAAGCGCCATGTTCAGCGTGAGCTGCGCCGCGCTCCCGTAAGCATGCGCTTCACTTAAGAGGATGTCAAGTTCTGACTGCCTTTCCACAGGTAGATAAATAAGAATAATAAAAAAATACCTATAGCTGGAATGTTTTCTACTGTGTGCTGACAGCAAAACTGTCAGCTTGCTATAATATGCGTTCCCCTTTATCTGACAGCCTTCTAGATGGAGCAAAGGGCCTCATCAGACCTTGAATGCATACATCACATTATGTCAACTGTTGATTTTACCTCACAATATGCCAATTCATTCCATCTTACATAACAGTCGTTTCTCCTGCCTTCACCTTGAATCTTGCAGGGGAAAACGTGGAGAACTTTCTGAGCAAACATACGTATCTGCGAGCTTGAAAGAAAAAAAAAAAACTTCTGGAGACCTGCTAGACCTTCAGAAACCTTATGATGAGCATCAATGAGAGTTCCACCCACCAAATGGTAAATTATAAGCATGAAAGATTATGGCTCACCTTGATCTCTGGGAGAGTTAGTGAAAGCCTATTGGCATGATTTCAGTAAGTTATTTGCTCGGGCTGAGCTCAACAGCCGAGCTCCACTTACTTCTCTTATTATTCTCTTAACATCTATTCCTGTTTGCTGGTTATTAGGATTATTTTCCTTCAGAGAAGTATGTGCTCTGTTTAATAGGAACACTGGTTAAGAGCATTGAACGGGACCTCAGTAGCACTCAGCAGAGCAAGAGCATCTTTGATTTGAGTCTACATCACAAGAAACAGCTTACAATACTTATCTGAACCAATGTCTCTTTAAGAGCAAATTAAGTTGAAAGCTGGCAAGCATGTTTTCCAATAACGCAAGAAATAGCTGCTACGACTGAATAACAGGGATGTGGGGCAGCCTCAATAGAAAATCAGAGGGGTCAAACGACTAACTGAGTCCAACAAAAATTCATTCATAACTCATATTCATGGCAGATCTGAGTAATACTAATGGCCCACTACTGGCGCACTTACTACCAGCCGGTCCCGCTGCTTACAAAGTGCCAACAGAAAAGATATAAAACCATTTCCACATCAGAAATCAGTTAATATGTGGCATGATTGAGACGGTGCAAGTTTGTTAAAGGGCTTGCATCATGGAAAACCCAATATTCTGCAGGATTTTTTTTTTAAATGAAAGGCTTTAATGTACTATGTGAACACTTTTAAAGTTTCAAAGTGTACCATTTACTTCCTAATCCATACGGTCCATACAACCGCATGCAAAAGTTTGAATATCCCACAGTCAAATTACACGTTTTGTTGATTTTTATTGAATATGTTAACACATCCTCTACAGGGAACAAACTTAAATATGCCATTTGCAAAATTAGTTTAACATATGAAAAATAAGCACGAAATACAAAATGTGCAGTAACTTTAGTACATTCTCTGTAGAGGATTTATACTTATTTTAAAATCAAGAAAACATGTCATTTGACTAGGGATCCCAAACTTTTGCATAATACTGTAAATGGTAACTAAACTTCAAACAGCCAATTTACAATTATGGATTACAATTTACAATTGTTCTTGTGATGTCAAGAAAACATACGTACATGTATGAAAAAATCAAAAAGGCCTTAAAATTCATTCATTCATTCATCATCTAAATCACTTATCGTTATGGGTTGCGGGGGTGCTGGAGCCTATTCCAGCGGTCATTGGGCAGAGGGCAGGAAACACCCAGGTCACCAGTCCATCACAGTGCAGGCACACAGACATACATACACATTTGCCCACACACCTAGGGGCAATATAGTATCTCCAATTGCTCTGACTACATGTCTTTGGACTGTGGGAGGTAACCCATGCACAAACAGAGAGTTCATGCACACACATTCAACTCTACACAGAAAGGACCTTGGACGCCCGAACAAGGAATTGAACCCAGGCCCTTCTTGCTGTAAGGTGACAGCACTAATGAGAAACAGTGAATAAGAGTGCTGTTTGTGTCCTTTGCTATCCTGCATTGATTAGCTCAGACGCGTTCAAACGGCTTGAGCAGCAGCAGATAAACAGTGAAAATGTTGGCCATGTTGAATTATTTCCGCAGTCTCTGCGAGGGAAGACAAGATTAATTAATCTGTTCATACCAAGCATTAAGAACTTCTTCATTACATGTTTGATACACTTGAAAATACAACGTCCCACTCGATAGGTAGAATACAGCAAAACAACAGAAGCAAAAAAAATCCTGTAAAAAAACAGCAATGGCATTTGTAGCCACAGTTTTTCAAATGACAAAAAAACTCATAAACCACAGGGCATAGTGGTTTGTGAAGGGCATAGTATAACTAAAACATACTCAAATTAATTGCCTTGGATCAGCAACCATTCTCTGTTTTGAGGACATTGCATTTTGTGGCACATAATATAGCCTACATTAGGGGATCCCAATCCCCTGATGCTCTGTTTTTGAGTTTTCCCTACTCTACACACCTGACGCAGCCACAAGGCACCTGTTCATTAGTTAATGAGTTGAATCAGGTGTGCTTGATGAGGCAGAGTGTTGGATCACCAAGACTGAGATTAGGAACTCCTGGCCTACATACTGTAACCACTGTCATCAAAGTTTATTTTATGTAATCTGTTTTTATTTATTATTAGCTTTTTTGTTTTTGGCCACAGCCTAGTGTGTCCTGAATTTTGGTTCCGTTTCGGCCAAGACAGCCTTCACAATTTAGCCCCACCCATTCACAATAAAGTTATAAGCAGTGTTTCAGTCCAGACCTCTATTTAAATGAGGCATAAACAGTGCAGCCAATCAGAAGTCATGTACACATATATCAGTGTTAAAGGCTTAGTAACAGATACAGCCTGTTTAATTCTAAGGCATAATGTGAGGGCAGAAAATGGAAATTTAAAAACTGATTATAGCTGGTTGTGTAACATAAACTTTAAAAAAGTCACAGAGGTAGACCTAGGTAGAGAATATAATAAAATGCAACAAAAATGTAGGATATGTAGGACCTCTGCAACCAGCTGCATTCTCCAAATGTAATTCGACATACATTATTCAGTTCAGATATTTGCACTGATGTCACCACCTTTTTACCTTTTCCTCCATTACTGCCTAATTTGTTTCAAAATATGCTCCATACATTTGCATGCATACACATTGGCCTCATCATCGCTGTACCAAAATAATCTCGGGACAGCACAGTCCCTTAATGAATTTTTACTCTTCTCTCTCCCTCTCCCTCTCCCCGTCCCCAGCCTTCCACCTGTCTTAGCACATCGGTACTCATTTGCATGACCTAATTGCTGATGCTGCAATTACTGGAAAAGTATTATTCATTTATCATTAAGGAGCAAGTGCAGTGGCCTTCGGTTCAAATTAAATAGGACTGTGTAACGTGGATTAAGTGTGAGCATTTAATGCATTCATGCAGGGTGAAGAACGGCTGCTTGAAGGTCACGATTGTAACATCTCTACAGGTGTTTAAAGAAGAGAGATTTGCATTTAATTTCAGATTGTAGCTGATGACACACAGTAAACAATATATGCTGTAATTTTAACCCTTAGAAGTCAGTTTTAGCTGGCACTAACAAGAATATATCATAATTTGATGTTAACTGTATCTCACTTTTAGCTTACTGTTTTATTTTGCCGGAAAGCAATTTGTATTTGCCATTTTTTGACATCGAGACAAATAAAGTACAGACTCTAACCTGCTTATATAGAACGCAAATCTAACTGTAAGTAAATACTTGTAATTTGTAATGTTACTATGTGACCACACTCTTGAAAAACATGCCACAAAGTGTTCTTTGAGTGATACCACAGAAGGACCTATTTTGGTTTCTTAAAGAACCATGTTTAAAAAAGAGACTTATGAGTGTGAGAAATCTTTCTAAAGGTGTAAAAAACCTTCACACACTGTAAAGATTCTACACCAGCAAAGGGATTCATCCTAGAACCTTTACTTTATCTGGAGGTTCTTTAAAGTTTGAAATGTTCTTCACACACACCTTATTTACAAAAATGTTTCTCTGAAGTACCACTGATTGAAAGATTTAATAGGGAAATGAAAGTGGGTCTTCTATGGCATTGTGCAAAGATTTATGTCATTTAAAGATGCAAAGGATCAGGATCTGAGCTGATTCAGGTATCTTATAATAGATCAAGTATTGGCTATATTAAGACTGATCTAGGTCCGATTCTGCGTTTTTTGCGTTCTGCTTACTCCACGTAAACAGAGTATATACAACCTGCAGCAGTGCAGTGTGTTTTCTCAAGAAAAAGCACATACACAATGCACCCACATCGTTTTTCACTCATGAGTCTAGTTGGACACAATGGTCGAAACGGAGGCTACTGAAGACATATTATAGCAATATGAAATCACAATGACCTATAAAATGGTCATTTCACATAAGTAGTCCACAAAAAAAGGTGAAAGTGATCAGTGCAAAAAGTCTGATAGGGACATCCCTACGTTTACAAATTACATTTACATCTCTAATTAAGTGATTACATTCAATACTACAGCGAAGTAACAACACCTCTAGACTGTGTCTAAGATGAATCATGATGAAGTGGTGGTTGCATGTATGAGAGTAAAGACTAATACTGTCACTTACACACACAGCTGGGCTTCTTGGCTGACCACTGGTTGTTCTTTTGACAGGTGATGTTCTTTTTGCCCACCAACTCAAAAGCAGGCAAGCATTCAAAATACAGCCTGTCCCCGTGCCGGAAGCCTGCGCCTTCTCGCTTGCCGTAGGCCGGGATTCCAGGGTCTCCACACCCGCCCTGGTCAATTTCTAAAAGGTAGGAGAAAGAAAGATGATCAGAAATGGGGTTATGAAGCAGAGAGACCCCTATCACAGTACGGCTTCCACAATAAAAGGCAATAAAAACACAATTCAACCATCTGGCTGGTAGAAGAGTGAGGCCTCTCACACCAGCTGAACTGCAGTAAAGGTCAGGAGAATGAAGGAGGATCAGTGGTGGGCTTTGATGGAGATGGGCTTCACACAGTTACCCTTACAGTGTAATGCTCCCTCCCTAGAGAGGAATTCAAGTGGAAATGATGCTTTCCATAGTGTCAGGCCAGTAGGACTGGCAGGTGACAGACAGTAGGAGACAGCTTGGCACAGGGGTAGGGAGAAGAGGGAAATTACAGGGTCTGGGTGGCCATTCTCTCCTGAGCTGGTGTCTGGGTCAGTATTTGTGTGCATGCCTATCCTGTTTGACTAAAGCCCCAAACCTCATAATTTAAGTGATTAACAATAAGATATGAGATTCTAAACCATTGCAATTCATGTTCAAATCAACCTCATGTTAATGTAATAACTTTTGGGCTAAAACTTTTTTTTTATTTTTGAGCACATTTGAGTACAGCAGGTGTCTTTACATTGTATGAAAACTTCATAATGAACATATCAATAGAAATGCTCAAAACTTGCTAAGAACAAAACTTCTTTACATGAAGTTATACTGAAAGTTAAGAACATTTTTGTCTTCTCTTGTAAAGTTGCCATTTCGGAGATTAATCTTCGGACAGTGATAAAATGTTAATACAATAATAATAATCCGCCCAAACCTTCTACTGGGGCATTATTTCACTCCAGCTAAGAAACAATAGTTTGTGAAATGATGACACACATCTGGCCCTGAGAGTTTAACCAGTCTAACCACTTTATCTGCTACCAAAGTTAAAGAAAGTATCTCAACACATATTTTGAGACCCTAATGCAAATTTACACTCAGTGTAGAGGAAAACTGATGCAAAACCAGACGCAGCAAATTGCTCAAGCAAGTAAATCGAGCAGAATATGTAATTAGACGCACATGTAATATTTCCAGCCACTTCTTGTACCATCTTCCCACATTATGCCCGGCCCTCCATTCAATGCATATGCATGAGCAAGAGAAGTGCATTTTGTGTTCTAACACGCACACGCCCCACGAAGTGCGCATTTAGGCTTGTGCACCAGTTTCGTACAGAACACGTGGGCAGAAAGTGTTCAATTTGCACCTGAAACTGCACCAAACAGGTTTAGTACATCTGGTGTTTTTGGGTTAAACAAACATATAGACAAACAAATGTGCAAAACAGATGCATACTGTCATCGTCAGAACAAAATCTCCAAAACAGTAACAGTAAAATTTACAGGAAAAAACATTCTTACCTTTTAATACATGTTAATGTAACAAGATTGTGGATCACTGCTATTGTTTCATTCATCATGAAATGTCCACACAGTGTAAAGAGCAACAATTTTAAATTATGCAAGACAATAAAAAATTAAATAAATAAATAAAAATGGGGAAATGATTTTGGTCTGACAGCAATAATGCCCACATACCCAGACATTTTAAGTGGCTGTTGTTCATTTGTGGCTGCCTCTGCTCATGCTGTTATGAGCGTGTGTCTGTGGTCTGTAGGAGTTTTATGACGATATGCAGGATGTCATTAAGACTTTAACCTGCTCTGCAAGTATGAATCACAGGGTCAGGTTTGCTGGGATGAAGCAGTGTGTAAATACATCTTGAATACATCCTCAGAGAAGATGTTTCAGCATTCAGCATGCTCCTGGAAAGACGAGGAAGTGGACTCGATTTATTCTAAACCATTATGTCAACACGCACAGCAAGCACAAGCTTATTCAGTAAATGCTGGGTCGTTTTTGGAAACATCTTGAAAGTCAATTTCCGAAATGTTGACTGTTAAAGCCTCTCTCTCTCTCTCTCTCTCGCCAAGAGCATGGTACATGCATGCAAAGCGGCCTTGTCGTTGTCCCAGAGCAATCTCAGGCTGGCCTGCTCTCTTAATGAATTCTTTTTTTTTCCTCTTCTCTCCCCTCATCCTTCCACCTGTCTTAGCACGTCAGGCCTCATTTGCGAGTGGGCTGCCACGGCAACGTGGAGAGAAGGCAGGGGAGAGCAGAGACGAAGCGAAAGAGAGAGTAAGAAATAGAGAGTGAGATAGGAAAGAGAGCGAGCGTGAAAAGAGAGAGAAAGAGAGAGAGAGAATAAGGGTGAGAAGGAGCAGGTGAAAAACCAGTGCAGCTGGAATACATACACTCAAAAGTGTCCAAGGACTTGATTATCCAACATTTCTTACAAAACCAAGGGTATTAACCCCTTTACACAGAGGGGAAAGAGGTAATTCTGTCTTTTAATTTACTTTTTTTATTCAGTAGTGGAATCTCTAAATATTATTCTTAAGCAGTGGCACCTCCAAATGTTCTGAATGAATGAATTAATGAACAAATAATTAAATAAATAAATCATTTTAAGTGAATACTTTCATTAATCATCACATTTGTTCACTGACAAACTATAAATAATCTAAACATAAATCAGTCTTGTGGGGTCAGATGTGATCTCACGATGAGAATAATGTTTGAGAACAAACTTTTTTTATGCTGCTTTGGAGATTTTGCCACAAACAGGGGTATGTCCCCTCTGAAACTCCTCCAAAATTGTTTAGCCTGTTCTATTATCATGCGGCGTGAAGCCCAGTCTCGCATCTTTGTCCTGCTTTCATCCTAAGGACCCTTTTTTTATTACCATGCAAGCCTTCCTTACAGTTAACTGTAAAACCTGTCATTAGATTTTATCCACTTGTGTAATAGCTTTGCAGCGTTCATTTACGAATATATTTCAAACACATAAATATTTAGTTATGTATTTTGAGGTTCCTCTCAAAGTTGTTGATTGACGGCTCTCATATGTATGATTCATCCAAAAACATTATGAAAATTCAAGATGGGAAGCCAAGGGATGCAAGATCAGGAGACAGATGTATGATTAGACTCCATACTGGAATAATCAGTACCATAAGCAAAACAAGCTAATAAATGAAACACTATCAGCTGACAGATCAGCGTGACACATGTGACATACATCTGTACACTTCAGTGGAGTTTTTGGGGGATTTTTCAGCCATGTTACCTTACACCACGTTACATCAATGGGCTCATGACAGGTTTGTTGACAAACGCACCATTGCTCCCTACTTTATGAGTTGACTAGTTTACAAATTTCAAGCTCAGTTTGTTCCCACTTTAGTAAATCTATGGTTCCACTCACATTTAGATAAAAAATTCTCCCCAGACGTTCTTGTTAGGAGATCAAATCTGGCCCCATACTACTGGCAATGCTTCCCTTCAGAGATGATACAAGCTGTGTGCTTGCATTTGAACAATTGTGTCAGCAGCACATGCACTGAATCCATGAATTAGAGAGGCCTCTGGACACTTCTGGCAATATTGTGTATATGTATTTTCCATGACTTAAAAAAAATGGTCACTGCTTCAGTGCTGTTTATGAGTGTGCATGTAGAAAGCATGTGGCGGATCCAAGGAGAAACAAGAGAAAGTGCTGAGGAATGGCAGTAGATCAGCAAAGGTGTTTAGACGTAGCTCTTGCCGTTGCTCTGTGCCTTGCCTGATTTGTCTACAATCTGTGCCATATTGTCCCAACAGCCGCTGAGCAGCGTGCACTGCATGCTACTGCAGTCAGGCTGGCCTGCATGTGGGATCGGTGACAGCTTGCCACCTGGACTCATTGTGCCGCATGTTTCTGAGTGTGCCATTCATAACCTCAGCTAAAGCAATGGAGGTCTGTTATGCATGGCCACAGTCAGCACAATAGACAGCGAGTTCCTGAGAGAAAAGCGCTGCTTACTAGTTACACTTCTTTGTGTGGCTGCGCACGCTGGTGTGTGTTTACATGCGTGTCCATCCTACCAGTGTCCACAGGGCTGCAGCTGTCCTGTGCCTGGTGCTGAACACTCCATCTCACACTGCAAGCTGACGTGCACTTTCATAAGGGCTGACATTTGTTATTTACCCATTTCAATTTTCCACTGATTTATTCCTCCGCCACTCCCCCCACCCCTTTTTTTTCCTTCTGCAAATCCAGATGGAAGTCACTGACTTCCCAGTGAAGGATTACTAATAATGCAGGAAGGCAAGAGTGCAAATAAATTCATCTATCCTTGCAAAATGCGGAAGTCTAAGGCACTTTTCCGAATGCACCTGGAGTCACCTGTCAGCTGCGCTCGCACTTCATTTATACACTCGCGTATGTGCTTGCCATGTAGTAACCATGTCACACACAGCCACAAGACAGTCTTTTAAACCAGACACTGACAATCTGATATTTCTGACAATGCTTCAGTATCAACAAAGCATTACATGTACATACAGTCGTATGCAAAAGTTTGTGCGATCCTGGTCAAGTTAAAGAAGTTACACACATCCTCTGCAGAGAACACACATTGTAGTGCACAATTACTGTTTATTTGCCAAATTTTGGAAACATTTTGGAAAAAATAAATAAAACCTATGTATAAGTTTGTTTACTGTAGAGGATATTTTTACTTTCACTTAAAAAAACAGGTCATTTGAGCTGACAGGACATGACTGAAGTGCCCCAGAGCAAGGCACCCAACCCCCAACTGCTAGGGCTGCCCACCGCTCTGACCAAGTGTGCTCACTGCCTCCTAGTGTGTGTGCATTCACTAGTGTGTATGTGGGTGTTCAACTGCACAGATGGGTTCAATGCAGAGGTGAATTTCCCCATTGTGGGATTAATAAAGGGCAACTTACTTATACTGGTTTTGTACTAAGAGGAAGTGAAGAAGTGCACATCACATCAAGCTATTACCTTGTAGATTACTGTGGAACTGCTGCCAGTTTAAAAAATGTCTTAGGCTTAATAATATACTCTTTTGGGGCCACTGTAGAATCAAAAGTCAAACTTATTCTAGGTATGGGACAGTGAGGCATCAGAGCTCATCTGTGTTCTGAAGGGCGGGGCTTGGTCCTGCCAACGTGGCAGTTGTTGTAAATTTATCTAGCTAGTAGTAAAAGCTGTGAGATAGCTTGAGAACTGAGCTTCCCCCTTTCTGTACACTGTTTTCTGAGTAAATTTGAAGAAAGCTGAGTTCTGGACTAAAACGTTGAATCATCCAAGTTTCTTATGAGAGCCCCCAACATCACACTGACGTCAGAAGTGGGATAGGAGAGTGAGAGCCATGAGCCACAAGTGAGAAGGCGTGCTGCTTTGCCTCTTATATTCTCAAGTTTTAATAAAGCTGCATTATGGCTTCGAATTCCAAGCTGTCTATACTTCTTCTGAGAACCCCCATGTTACAATATTTAGTTTTATTAGTATTGGTAACACTGTGCCACAACTAAATCTGTCGTGTCGAGGCTATACTTTATCCTGTCTAGCTCTCCATGTGAGGTATTTACGTCTACTTTAAAATGGTGCTCATTAAAGCCGGTGAAAGGGTGATTAAAATAATATAGGTATGGATTCTGTGACTTGTACACATAGTGTAATAATCAAAAAATATACAAGATGAAAAGGTGTCTCCCCTACCCTCAGTTTTTTAAATATACTCAGCTACTGAATATACCACATAATCAAAAAACAAAGGCACAGCTTGTGACTTGTGCATAGCCCCTTCAGTGTCCAATGAATTACAGCTCATGTTCCCTTTGGGCCTCTGGAAATAGAATATGTGGGGAATAAAGAAGAATAGAGGGATGCGGTGATGGAAGAAAAGAAGCTCACAAGCCTGAACCCCCCCAGCGGAGGTGAAGGAGATGCCTGTGGCATGCCCCTCTGTCTCCCTGTCTTAATAGCAGATCAGCTCATAAATAAGCCAGTGGCAGTAATGGGGCATTTGTCATGTCTTTACCATGTTGGAGCAGTGATGATGCTCAAAAGTTCCTTGCTTTTAATCTTAAACCCATCTTATACTGCAAGATACACAGCGACATCTCTCCATATGAACATGTACTGCCAAGGGAGGGAGGGAGGGAGGAAGAGAAAGAGGCAGAGAAGTCAAGAGAGAGAAAATCTGCATGTGGTGTGTAATCTAACCTGTCAGAAACATTACAGTAAGGAGTCTAGCTCTACATGTGCCAATTCTGCAAAAAAGTATGAAAATACGAATTGAATTAATTTGGGGAAGCATCTGATCTCAGAGGAAGGGAGGTAGAGAGGTTCAAAGAGATTCTTCAACTTCATTAAGTGTTTCTCATTGTTTTAATTATGTTGGGGTGTGTACTCTGCTCTACTTTCCTGTTATTTTGCAGATGAAAAATAAGTATATAACTCCGGGCTGGGGGCTCAGTGAGGATCTGAGAGTGACTGTTGGCTTTCAAAGCGTCTGGAGGAAAAAGTGCCAATTCCCAATGGTCGCTGGGCACTGTACAATTTTAAAGAATGGCCTGGATGAAAGCGCTGCTGTTTAGACTGCACTTGTTTCCAACTGAGGCGTGGAGAAACTAAACCGAACAAAAAGGAAATTATTGTTCCCTGCTCTGCAATGTTCTCCCGCTTCCACAAAAGAGGGAGCCACTTTCCAATGAGGCGAAATGAGAACGCTCTGCCTAGATGACCCCCTTCAACTTCTGGAGAGAGAATGATGATGAAGAGAGAGAAAAAAAGAGTGTGAAAGAATGGGCGAGAGAGAGGAAGAGATCATGCTGGGCTGTCATGGTAGACAAATACGCTGAAAGCATGGCAAGTGGAGCCGTTACTGAGGCAGACAGAGAAGAGAGGTGTTTAAAGATGCAGGGGGTTAAAAAGCCCCCCAAAAGGGAGTGCAGGCTGACATCTTCTTTTCTTTTCTTCTACTGATGGAGCAATCTTGGATAAGAGGTGGGCCAAAAGAAGGAGAATAAAAAAAAGCTTTAGAAATAAGAGGAGATTTTGTGGCAACTGTGAATCTATTTTAAAGATCAAAGACCTAATTCTTGGCACAATTATTGTTCAACGTACAAGAAAAAGAAGGGCAATGTAATGAAATGGTAAAGAGTGCAGACCTCAATGACCTCAAGTGGCCCATAGATCTATGTTGCCTTTAGTACTCTTCTCCTCAAATGACAACATGCAATCATTGTGACCACACACAGCAACACAGAGACCAACCGCAGTACTTTCTCCATCATGTTTATTCATAGGATGCTAGACAGCAGAAGACCATCAGAGCTGTGGTTTGATTGTGGTGATGGAGAACTGTCATTTTGTCCACTTGTGCGGAGACTTCACAAGAGAGTTGCAAGAGGCAGATGATTGCAATACTGTGCTTTGGGTCTTCAGAACTGAAACACGTTTAGCATCTAATAGGGCTGGACAATAAATCATTGGTAAATCGTTATTGCGATAATTGCCTCTAACCAATCATATTTTTTTGTGGAAGTATTTTCATGAATCACAATTCCAGATGAGTGATATCAAGGAAATCATGTAATTGAAATAAAGTAACCATGTCACCAACGATTTGAAAAAGGGGCATTACTGCCTAAAATCAGCATTTATGTAATATTAGTATCAGCACTGTATCCCTCAGCCTCACTGGTTTTGACAGAATTCACAGTTTTATATTCTTTTGTGTTTTCATCCATCAATGCTTTCTCACTACAATACCAAGCATGCATTACGCAAATATGTTATACCCCCCATTCGGCAAAGAAATCCTCACGTGTCTGCCCCTAAAGCAGTTTTTCAAAAGTTCTTCCCACCTTCAAGATGCATCATCAGAAGGTGTTTTTCTTAAACATTAAACCATGACACATCTCTCTCTTGAACAGCAGTGTCAAACCTAACCACTAAAAGGGCCACATTAAAAAATCGCACTCAATCACATTTTGCCATGACCCAAATGGGCCAATGTTAATTAAAATACGCCAAAACTACAACAGCAAAATAGGCACTGAATACTTATTCAAAAATAATTCTAAATAAAAAAAAATGTTTTAGGTAGTTTTTTTAAAACTGCCTATTTGCTCAAACTAGACACCAGGCATCTTTTCATTTCGTGTAACCGCTGGCCCATAGACTGTTGGGTTAGAATGCAGGGGGTTAGAATGCACACTATGCTGCAGTGCACGCTGGGGACTGTGGTGCTTCTGAGGGTGAAACGGGATAATAAGAACAGAAGATTAAAATAATTGTGTGGGCCGAATGGGACTGTGTCATGGGCCTTACTTGGCCCGTGGGCCTTGTGTTTGACACATGGGCTCTAGAGACTACTGTGGCACTGCTGTAAGAGGTCAGTAGGTATGATTACAATATATGTAACAATGGTTATATTTTTCATTTTGTCCAGAGTGCCCCTTTAACATAAAAGGAAGGCCTATCACAATGTAGGAATATAATCGTGATAGAAGTACTTTTGTCCATATCATGTAGAGGAGTTATCCAGTTTGATCTGACTTACCCTCGTAAGACACCTTGAAACCCAGGGAACCACTGGTGTCATCTGTCTTGAAATTCAGCCACATCTGATGGCTGGTGCTGACCACAAGGTCTGGAGTGCTGGTCCCCGACAGCCTGGAAATGCATTCAGGAAACAGACCGTATAAGACGAGCTCAGTGCACAGGCTCACTCTGCTCCTAATGTACTGTATACCAATAGGCTTGGCTGATCAGGGAGTTCCTCCAGCTCTGGGCTTATGGGGCCCACTAATTGAGCACATTAGGCTATTTGGGGCTCTGTGCACCCGGAGAGAGAAAGTCAGAGAGACAGAGGGGGGGTGGGTGGGAGAGAGAGAGAGAAAGAGAGAGAGAGAGAACCCAGGGACACCACACAGGAGCACTCTTCCAGCCCTGCCAGAGAGCACACATAAAACGCCATCGATAAAACTTTATGAACACCATAAATTTGGGCACAATTAATAACAACACTCTGAGAAACATTCCGAAGCATCTGGTTTGGCAAACTGCATTATGGGCATCAATATGCAACATGCTTTTTTTTTCCATTTTTTCCCCCACAGGGGTGATCTTGTTGTAACATTGAGAGCCAAAGTGATTGACAATCGAGCTTTGAGTATTTCTCCCATACGCTGCTACTCAGTGGGCTGATGAAACGAGGAGAAACAAGGCGAGAGGAGGAGGTGGAGGGAGCGGGAGAAGTTGAAAGAGAGGAGGACATCAAGAGATGAAAGAAAGGGAGAGAGGGAGGGACTGGGGAGAGCTATACACATACACAGAAAGAGAAAAGAAATCAGAAGAGAATAACAAAGAGGAATGTGAGAGAGACGGAGGACAAAAGTACTCACACATGAAAGACGGTCCTCTGATCCCCAATTACAGCTCCGTCACCCACTGTTAGGGTGTCGTAGCCACGCTCCAGGTCAAAGTCTTCAAAGGTCAGCTTTATCACCTGCACACAGACCCATCAGCTCCGTTACAGCACGCACAACAGAACAGACCGTTCATCCATTTACCCCCCTCCGCCCAGCAAGCTCGCCAGCAGCAATGAGTCAGTTTTCAGGTATTAAGGAAAAATAAATGGACGCGAGCTTTAGAAACCTTTCTATTGATGAGCTAAAGCAGTACTGACCTGATTATCTCTGGGTTAACAGCCTTCTCACAGCACACTGAAAGGTGTTATTTATGCATAGCCCAGGTCTATGATTCCATCTTCATTAGATTGCGGACAAAGATAAACCTCAATTATAACTCCAGGCTGCTTGCACTTCTTTTTATAAGTGAAATACAATTCCCACTTTCCTGAATATACAGACATCAAGTGCATTAGAGATGCAAACAGTGACCATAAGGTGAAAAAAAACCCTTCATGAAAGTTAAAGGATAAAAACAAGTACCCTGAAAAGGGTAAGAAGAAAAGGGTAAAGGAAATATTTCCATCAGAGATTTTTTTGTACCCAGCAGAAATGGGCATTAAAATGTGAAGAAAATAATTAAATCTAGATTTTTTCAGTATTACTGTGCATAGCTGATAAACAAAAAATAATAATGCAAGGGGAAAAAACAGCTTAAGTGAGAAGAAAAGCAAAAAAAAAAAATGCGCCGTCTAGTCTCCTATTTCAAATTGTCTGCCACATTTCCGCCAAATTCTTAATGTTTTCGGAGTGCTCAGAGACCGCCTCCTAATGAAAAAGCTTATATAAATGCAAATTGCATTCTGTCCTATGGTAAACACAGTGGGTAATGAAAATTGCCAGGAGTGGGGAGGCAGCATTCTGGGTCAGATCACCAGATAAATAGAGTTTTGCCTTGCTTTACCTCTTCCAGCCCTTGCTTTCTGTTGCTCTGCTTTCTCTCAGCATGTCATCCTGGGCAGGTATGGCCCGCCCTCTCCTCCAGCCTCATGGGAAACATGTGCATGGTATTGATTGAGAGCTCTGTGGGTGGAGGCAGACTCAGTTGACTCACTGTGGGTTCCTGAGAGCATGTAATCTCCAGAGCCCCAGGCTCCTTTCAGAAAGTCAAGATGCCGTGAGTGAATATGAACCCATGACATGCTGCGAAGGCCTGCGATCCTGCACTGTCTCTGAGCTCACATCTCTGGCACCCCTCTGTATCCCGTGGTAATTGAACCAATGCTTCACGCTATAAGATCTACAGGCAGAGCTATTAGCAATTATTCACAATGGCCTGAATTCACCAGTGAACACTTCCAAGCTAGCAGAGATGAACGCAGAGCTAATGTTTCAAACACTCTGATGCATGAAACACTTCTAATCGTGACAAGGCTGTTTCACTCTTATCGCTTACGTCTGACCAGCAAACAGCATAACTATTAAAAAAATCATTGCATTCCGGTACAGAAAACACAAAACAAAAATGGATCACCCCAAGCCTCAAATACATAAGAGTACCTCAAAAAAGCTTTGCTGTTCATACCATCAGACCACATACTGACTACAGGGACTGGGACTAAGCTGGAGGAGTAGATTTTAGTCAATGAAACGCTCTTCAGAGACAGAGTGGCAGCTAATACCAATCAGCTGGATGAAGATAACACTAAACAAAGACAGGCTGATAATTAAAAGTGAAAGAAACAACAAAAGCAATCAGCCGTTTCTCTCTGTGTGCAGCTAATTTTGTCTTTTCCTGTTTCCTGGGGATCCGTTTGTCTAGAAAAAGAAAGCTAGCGTCTAGACTCAAAGCTCATATTGACACTCTGAGGAGGATTCATCCCAGAGCAGCTCAGCATCCGGCCTTCCCTACAGACATCCATCCTCCTCCTCCACTGCGTATCCATTCAGCCTCTTCCCCATACCATCAACAGCTCTGACATATGGTAAGGGCTTGCACATTTGTCCTCCATCTCATTTGCTTTGGTTTGCTTTAAATATCTAGTCCATCCACCATTCTGTGTCAACATCGGTTTGTACAAATCCAAATCCTTAAATTAGTACCCATTTAATAATGTACCTTTCAGATATGGACGACTTAATGTCGAACACTTTCAATCTTTTATTAATAGTTAATTTCAGTATTCAAGATCTTCAGTAACTTACAAACAGGTCAAGGTAGTGCCGCAAAGCTCACTGCTTTTAATGAATTAGGCTGATCTGGTGTTATTAAACATGCCTTAATGTTCATTTATTTCAAACAAATAAGTTTGATTTGAATGATCCCTATGTAACTATCTACCATGATATGCTCTAAATCTGGCTAAACAAATCCAAATCTTTAATTTAGTCTACTTAATAACATGCTCCAACCAGATGTTGACAGATTACGTGAAGCACTCTCAGTGACCTTTCATGTTTAAAATCTCTTATTGGCAGGCATGCATTTTTTCTCTGCTGATACTAAGTACAGATCTGATACCAGGAGACCATTAAGGCTCCTGTGTTTCACAGTAGCAAAGCATGTAAACACAGACACACAGTACAGCTGAAGGTACCAGAGTAACTAAATTTTGAAACTGTACTGTTTTTACAAAATTGTTTATTCCAGTAATCACGACTACAAAACAGCACTGAATGTGGATCAGCAATGTATTTGATCCATTTAATCCTGCACAAAATATGAAATATTGAGGGGTATTTTTGATTTTGTTGCAATATGGCAACAGCATGGAACAACGGAAAGGCAATCCACAATGCACACAATGGGAGTAAATCAACTGCTGGACAAAACCATGGCTGGACAGTGCACAGTCCAGTGGCAGTGCACTAATTTATTCCTGTTGGATGCAGTAAAGATTGCAGTGCCATTGTAGTATGCTGTTATGCCATATAGTAACAATTGCACTGATTAAACTAAAGTATTTCCAGCTACCGCAATGTCATCAATTTTCTTATCACTGAAGTACACAGTTTTCAGTAAACAAAACACAGTTCTGATGATGGCAATATCAATGATGTCAGCAGCCTTCTATTTCCTAAAAGAATAGAAAAAAAAATTTACTTTTCAACTTTGGCAAGTCCTTGTTGCCATATGGCAGCACCATGCAGTAAAGAGTTAATAAGCTCAGTATTGTTGCTGATCCCCATCCAATATGTTGAACTGGTGCATCACTACTTATTGGTTCCCTATGTAATAGTTTCCATGAATACATTCTAGCTAAGCACTGCAATGAAAGACTCATTGTTTTTAGTGAACCAGGCTGACCTTGAATTTCTCAGCATGCCTTAATATTCACTTCTGTTCCTTAATTCCATTATTATCTAAGCCCACTGGACATGTCCAAAATGCACGCAGTAAGCGGCAACACCCAGTCTGATATCTTTGTGCACAAAGAGGCCGGTGTGTGGGTTTTGGCTCAGCTATAGAGAATACAAAGCTCATTGTCAGGTACATTTTGCATGGCCCCAGCTCTGCCACAATCTCACGGCTGACCCCACGTCTCTTCTAGGTGCCATTGTGCTGACACAAAAATAGAATGTCATTACGTTTGCAAAGAGCAGGAACAGCCATGCTTCATCTTCATTTGTGAGTCTCTCGCCAGCCCAGACAGTGTGAAGTAGAACTGTCCGTTACCCACAGGATGGGGTGGGGAGGGATGGGGGCGGGTGGCAAAACAGGAACATTAATGGCACAGCAGTCCATCCCTGCCCCCCTCTTCTCCCCTCTGAGCCAGCGTGATAAGAGGAGAGATTTGTAAAACCATTTGTTTGAGCCCAGAGAAAGAAATTTGGCAAGCAGAGTGTGGCCTTGAACTGGGCTCCAAAGTCATCACTATGGCTTCCTCACTCCTATAATATCCTCTCAGCTTACTTGATGGAGCGCCCTCTCCCTACCTAACTTAACTATTTTAACCTCACTCTCTCCTCTCCCTGAACCAGGCTATCAATATCATATCAATATCAATAATCCAAAGGCCATGAGGAACAGATTTACCACAAATTAAAGCTATAGATGAGGATTGTACCTTGTTGTGATCTGATGCTGTAATGATCCAGGTACAGTTGGCGTTGTTATCGTACTGGACTGGAAAGTTTGGAGATGTGATGACACCACTGGGACCACGAAGCTGACCACCACACATGGGTGCTGAGATTGGGGACAGAGAAAGAGAGAGAGAGAGAGAGAGAGAGAAAAATTTACATAGCATTTACTTAGCATTTAGTTGCTTTAATGACTTAAAAACTTCCTTGCGTATTGCACTAAATCTGATGTTATATATATCTGATGCAATTAGCTGAGAAATTGGTTTTCTTAATCCATTTGAATAAACTCAATACCTCAATGTGTTAAATTAACACTAACATTACAAGCTAACTACACAGTCATATGTCAATTATGTAACGTCACAAAAACTGGTAATTCAGTTAAAGTATGATTGGCTATTATGCTGTGCAATCTTTCTTCCTGGGGCTACTTGGTACAAATATAACCTTGAACCCAAGCAGATAATCAAAAACAAATCCCCACACAGGCTGGAAGAAAACACCTGTGGGGGCTTATAAGCTTCCACTAGTTCAGTGGACCAAACAAGCTCTCAAGTGAAACCTGCTTGAGCTCACTGCACCTCACTGCAATCACCCAACTCTCAGAGACATACTGACTGCGCCAGTGAGCTAATGCAACATATCAGTAACCTCAGTGATTAAAGCAGGACGATCACAAAAAGTACACCCTTGAGCTAGAGCTAATATTTGGAAATTACAGTAACTAGTATTTCCCAAGATGCCAAAAAATGATTTGTTTCAGGCTGTTGCTTTTGACCAGAACAGCATGCGGCCTGCAGTTTGAGAGACCTTTTGAGGGTTTGGTGGTGACTTGACTTTTGTGTGACTTTCTGTATGAGTTTCATTCTTTTGTGTGACTCCCGTGTCCTCCAGGAGGACTTTAAAGCCCCCCCCGAACGAAAGTGCTCGCTGGCTAATGAGGAGGGAGGGCACAGCCAGTATGTTTGCAGTAAATGAACGTGTCTGCAGGTCTGGGACCAGCTGCGGCTCTTAATGAGCTATGTCTGAGGTGAGCTCCTCAGGGGGCTACACACACACACGCAGCCACACACAGTCACCCACAGCTCTCCTCGCATACTTAAAGGTGGGTTGACATTAAAGAATAAATCCTTAAAAAAGTTAATTAACACCAGGGCCTGCTGACCACCGTTTTCACCTTCATAATATAATATGTGTAATCTCTGGTGCTTGGTATTCTCCTTCGTTTCGCTTAAGAGGTCCAGGGAGCTTGCTGAGTTCATTCACAGTCTGTGTTCATTCACAGTCTCCAACCTTTTTGGTAATTTTCAAGTTAATAGTAACTCCTACATTCACAGAGTGTGCAACACACAATCCTACAGCTACATAGAGAAAATCCTGGTACGTAAGCAACAATTAAAAGGATGTGGGAAATTCTGAAATCTCTCACCATTAAATGCATTTATTTAATCTGTACAATAAATAAGTGTTTGAACTGCATGTCCTACACTTTTAAATATAAAGGTGCAACTAAGGGATCTTTGGAGCGATACCATAGAACAGAGGGTCCTTCAACTCCAGTCCTTGAAAGCCAGTTTTCCGCACTAACATACCTGATTCAACTCATCTGTTAATTGCCAGGCTTAGCTGGTATTTTTAAAGTAGACCAGTTACCAAACTGTGCTGCAGACTGGGCCTCCAGGACTGAAGTTGAACATCCCTGCTATAGAAGAACCACTTTTTATTCCCTAAAGCAGTGGTTCGCAAACCTTTAACTGGTAAAGAACTTTTAAACTATATCAGGGGTCGGCAACCAAATGTTAAGAAGAGCCATTTTGTCCTTCCTGCAAAAATCAAACCACGTCCATTTTACCATATTGCCTGTAAATATGTCTCAGTATGTGCTAATCTGCTAGTACAGGCTAACAAATTTAGTATAAACGAAACCAGCTAAGAGCTTATAAATACAAATAAGTCCATTCGTCTCCAAATTATCAATGTTTGTCTTGAATTTTTCTCTTTGCCTGTTCATTAGATCCTAGCTAGGCAAAATTGTTGTCTGCGTTGCTGTGAGACCAGCAGTCTGGGTGCCAATCTTCACAGTTAAAGGTTGGTGAATTAGCAGTTATATATTAATTCCAAAGACCATTTATGCTAAAACTGTATTAGAACCATCAACAGAGCTTTATTTTACTGCAAAGGAGGATTATTTTACTTTTATCTAAAAATCTAATTCTGCTGTGGAGCCGCAACAGGGCAGTAAAAGAGCCGCATGTTGCCGACCCCTGCACTATATGAATGTTCTTAAACATATAAAAGTTTCTTCACTCTTACACATTTTATGTACAAACATGATTCCTTCAAGAACCATCCATTGAAAGGTTCTTTAATCCTTTAAATGGCCAGGGCCCACCAGCAGGTTCAAAGTTTTATTACACACTTCTATAACCTAAGAATACCTTAACCAGTTTCACTGAAGTCCCTGTAGTTACTGAAAAATAAGCCTTAGCATGTAATAAATCTGGGGTTTTTAGGGGTCAAGACAGTGGTTCTTGATCCAGTCCTCAGGGACCTCCAAACTGCCCATATTTTTGCTATATGCTTATGTGGGGTTTGGGGATCCCTGAGGATCAGTTTGAGAGCCACTGCCTTAAAGAACTTTTCAACAGAATTCCGTAAATGAGATGTGTGCAGGTGAAGAAACTTTAAGAAAATTCATACAACGTATAAGTTCTATACCAATTAATGGTTTTCCCTAGAACTGTAAATCCAAACGAAGAATGTTTTTGGAACAATTTTTAAGAGTTCTGGAACATTTCTGAACAATTATTTTGTGTTTGAGTGTTGGCAAGGACACAAATACATTTTTGAAGTGCTTTTGATGCACAAACTAAAGCAGAGTCTTGAATAATCCACACCGTGTTTTCAGTTTCCGGCCCTGGATTTTGCAATGACTGGCAGATGACTGAACTGTTAATGTAACTGATTGATCACCTAATGTCACTCTTACCAGCAATTATATAATCCAGGACTGGAAACTGGATTAAAGGTTCAGTTTTGAAGAGCTCTGAACTAAAGTATTATGCATTTTAGCAACTAGTCAAAAACATTAGGCCATTTTAATAGGCAACAACCTTGTGCACAAATTTTTGTTTTCTGGGATCAGCCAACCCTTCTGGTACTACACCAATATGCACCCAAACCATGTTACAATAAGCAGAAACAGATAGCATGGTTAAACTAGATGCATCTGAATTGTAATACACATTTCTAATGGTATGATAGACTAGCGTGAAACTGGAGCTCACTTAAGGTGGAACCCAGTCTCATGTGGGCAGAGAACAGCACTTGGAGACAAAGCAATCAGATAATCATCCCTGCTCTCTGAAAGTGTTTCCCCATGGCTAGTGCTAATCTCATTCTGCCTGAATTGGATCAGTGTGAAATCTAGCACTGGTTCCCCCTACTCAGAAGTGGGCTTTTTTATATAAGGCACACTGCAGGGGCTAGAGGTGTGGACACACAGCACACTGCAGAAGACTGGGACAAAGGGGAAGAACTCACTGAGATTACTTCCCACTTGAACCTGCTGTGACTTCCTGCCAAAGAGCCACTTTTTGCCATGGAGCTTTTATTAAGCCGTCCAGAAATTATAGCTATTAATTGGCTCTTTGTGAAAGTGGCTTTATCTCACATGACTATAGCTCATTTCTTATGGGTGGCACACTTTATGTTGATGTAGTCAGATGAAGAAGCCCTTAGAGCACTTATAGTACAACACATAATTCAACAACAGATATAAATCTGAAGTTACAGCCCATATATAACTTATTTGTTGCAAAACAGGCCATGATTGTCCTTATTTTTTCATAAAATATTCCTACTTTGCATAGTCAAGGACAAGTGGTGCCATTTCTGTAAAGTGCATTTGTTTTTTTGTTTGGTTTTTTTCTCTCTAGGTTTTCAAGTTTTACGATGTAGTGATTTATGAATTCTTTTCTAGAGCTACCGTGAAACACTGTTGTCTTAATTATTCTCAAGTTTCCGACTTTCCTGCGGCACTCTGCAATTAACGGGGCCATTTTTGAGTAATGACCTGGCATTTAGTAGTGTTAAATCAATGAAACAAGACGAATAATCATTCTCTACATTGCTGGTGAAAGGGAGCAAGTGATTGAAATGGGTTTCAGAAAGCAAACGCCAAATATCACCACTCTTTACATGACTAATGGGGCTTAAAGAGGAGCAGAGTGCGTCTAGGCTAGCAGACGCTTTCTCCATTCTGGATCCATTCTCACTTCTTTTCTGAAACGTTTCACAGTCAGATAGACGACGAAGGCTTACAAACCAAAAGCTGATCGTTAAACAATCAAAAACAAAAGCGACTGCAGTCATCCATCTCAAAGCTGTCCGACTACGTTTCTCTCACAGACTGTCACGCCAGGACATCCACTGTGCAGAGGCTGCTGCTAGAAGAGAGGGGATGTAACACATTAATGAAAGTCTAATAGTCCACAGCTTGCTGAACAATAGTGGGGAAATTAATCAATATCACAGGGCCAAGGAGTAGATATTAACAAGTGTGAAAGTATGTGTGGGAGTACTGGTATATGTGTGTGTCTGAGACGCATAGAGGACACATTATAACCTCGACGGGGAAATTGGAACGCGAGAGAAATGCGTTAGCCTGCGGGGCAGTCTGCTCTGCGCTGTGGATAATGTGATGATAAAGTGTATTAACCTGCATGACATCTACCATACGCACATCTGTCTTGGGATAATCCTCAAAACTGTCCTAATCCATGCAGTACGCGGCCAAGCACACAAAACACTCAACTTTTTCAGAAAATGAAGACGAAAGCGCCCACTTAAGCACTGTTAAAGGGGGTGTCCATACGTGCCGGCCTTTGAAAATGATGGCGCTGGTGTCAAGAACGGTTCTTTGAAGACGTGACAGTTGCAGGAGGGCTGAAGTCATGATAGCTCTCCAGGCCAATCACACTCAGAAAATTAGTAAAGCTTAATAAAGTAATTAATCAGAGCCGAGTGCAGCTAAATAAGCTGATTACTGAAGAGTGATAGCCATCTCCTCCCTCTCAGGAAATCTGCTGCAGATTCTTCTCTCCTGTTAGCCTCTCTCCTCTCAGCCTCCCTCTGCTCCTTCTCCATTAGCTACCTTACGCAATGCACAATAAACATGACATACATTCTAAACAGGCACAAATTCAGCCATACATTGTTCTTCAAAAGTTTGGGGACACTTACAATCTTAAAAATAAAGGATTCCTGGGACGTGCGGACAAAGCTTTAATTGATATACCTCTTTACCCTGTTTAGACCTTCACACACTCACATCTCATTTACAGAAATGATTCTTCAGAGAACTGTCCATTTAAATGTTCGGTAGGAAACCAAAAGTGGTTCTTTTGTAGTATTGCTCCTTTACTGTTAAGAGTCTAACTTTTCATTTAATGTTTGCTATATAATGACCTGGTGTTCTTTGTTGGTTTGCAATAACGTGACATATTTAATAGAAAATTCTTTACATACCGCCATTTTCAGTAAAACTGAAGGAACAACTAACAAAAGTACTTTTTTCCTTACTTTCTTTGCATACTCCATGGTGTCAGCAGCCACTAGCACATGAGTGCATGTCTAGGGCCTTGGAGTTTTGAATTTGTGCTTTTAACAATAGTTTGGGAAAGAAAACTGTTAAATCATTATTCAGGCAAAGCTTCACACTAATGAAGACACTATTAGTAACATGATCAAAAACTATTTGTGTGTAATTTTTTAGTTATATAGTATATAAGTATAGTATGCACTGGCTTGTTATTCTGGGATGTCCTTTCACTTCTAAAAAGTGTATTTTACAACTCCAAAATAGTAAAAATGGAACTGAACAATGTGCAGATAAATTAAGTAAATTAATCAGTTAATAAAACTAAATGTTGTGTTACATCCAAATTTCTCAAGTAATTTGTCTCATACGTCCTTCCCCTATACTCGTGCTTATGACCGTCAGACACTACTGGAATTTAGTAGAAACTATAAGTCACTGACGCTCTCGAAAACATAAACTCTTGTCCCTTGTCTCAGTCCCAACATCATTTTGTCTCTGCTTTGCCTAAGTCTGAGGGTAAGGTTGACTGGAAAATTGTTGCCTCCATCTAAGGTAATTGTTATTGAATATCAACAATATCTTCAAATAGAATAAAACAGTCCTTTCTCTACATATTTAATAAATAAAATCTGTTCACTACTGGTTGAGGATCTAATTGATCCTTTCCATGATGGCTTAACTGGGTATTATTTGTTTGTTGATGTTCATTGGTTCCAAAATTCAAACATTTCCTGAGGACAGATAAGAATGCTACTATTACTATGTTTTCAATTAATTATAAAAACGGATGTATGTTATTTGGTTTATATTCAGTTAACTTCTGGTGGTGACTTTAATAAGTTTTAGAGAAAGACAGTGAATAACCTCACCATCATTTGCTTCTAAAAGTTACTATACATTAATAATAATAATAATATTAATGATGATAATGATTTTACAAAATATAACACAAAATATAATTCGTAGACATATATCATCTATAATGAATGATAAGAAATGTGCAGTGAACTACAAATGAATTTCATGTTGTCTCCCTTTTCTTCTGGTCTGGCTCTCGTCTCAGTCTCGATTGCTAAAAAGTCTTGGTCTTGATTTGATATCACCGCTCTCATTGTTGCTAGGACCAGGTCTTGAGACTACAGCATCATCTCAGCTGTCCAAGCTTTCTCTATTCAGCTAAAGAGGCCATTAGCTATTCAGCTTAACAAGCTAACCTTACCTTTTTTTCCCCCACTGTATGTAAACCGCATTCTCTGTGCTTGTTTGTGGCACACTGGTATAAAGGTTCTAACAAAAATTTACGTCTTCAGAATTTCTTCAGTGTACTAGATGGATCAGTGTATCTTCCACTGCTAGAACACTTTCATGAACATGTAACTGAGTGTTGTAATTTCCAACAGAAGGCAATTTGTCCTTAAACTTTTGGCAGGCTATGTTAAAATCTGTCTCGGAGAGCAGTACCTCTGCAGATGGGCCGGTCATCACTCCAGCCCACATAGCTGTCCGTCACACGCATGCAGGTGATACTCTTGGAGCCCTGGAGCTCGTAGCCCTCATCGCAGGAGAAGTGCACTGTGGCCCCGCGTCTGCAGAACAAAAACACAAGAGCGCTCGGCTCATATCATTAACATCTCTGTTCATTTCCCCCTAAAGTAGGAAATCAATTCACTTTTGACTTGAACATACATTTTTAATGCTGCCCGTTCATCCAACATGTTTAATCTGGCACAGAGAGCTGTAACAATGTGACGAGGAGGCTGCCGCGCACTCCTGATGCTGTCTTGCTCTTCCTGTCCTGAGGCCATTTCTCCCCTCACTGGCCTGCTGTGCGTGTGTGTGTGTGTGTGTGCGCCTGCTGGATGCTCAGTAAAGAGTGCAGACCTCTAGAGCTCTTCTGCCTCGTTCCACCCTCCGGCTTTTTCCGTCTGCAACCCCTCACACTCAACCCTGTGTGCGTGTTACAGCTTGAAACTATTTACGTTGGGGTTTCGTAGTGCTCGGATATCATTTGTCAAATATGTGTCAGGCTCAGTTTGGATTATGATTTCACCTTTGCAAACCTAATACATTTTGATCTGCATGCTTTAGCTGAAGGAGCATTTAAACAGCACTGTTTTGGATAGCAGGTAATTCATTTCTATTTTGTTGATGATCTGACGACAGATAGATGACAGATGAAGTTGCTAATGCCGTGGGATAGAGGTTCCAGATGTCTCCAGCGTGACCTCACGGACAACACACGGATTTGTTAAATTCTATTATCAGGCCAGTTGATTTAACATAAGGAAGCATTGATTAGCCTAGTTGTTGGATGGCAACTACAAGTAATACTGGGCTGGAAATGGTTAAATGAACAATGATTCTAACATCTACCATCTAACATATCATCGCTGTGCAAAGAAAAACATGTATCTCCATTTTTGCAGATTTTTATTTTTCTATATCTTTTGAACACAGCAGTTCTCCTTTATGTTGTGTGAAAATTTCTTGATGATTGGACCAATAGAAATGCCCCAATATCATTTAGAATAAAATCTTCTTACATTAACTTACATTAAAAGTCTCCTGTAAAGTTACCATTTTGGAGATTTTTGTTTTTCTTTGGACCGGACGATATGTAAAGTCACTACTTACTGTTTGTTATTAAATGTTATTTGTATTTATTGCAATTTTACCAAATAAATGCCTACCGACCACGGCTTTTTAAATATAAACAGCTTTTTAAATATAACTTTCTCTGGTGCCTAAAACATTCAAACTGTACTGTGTATACATAGTTAATAAAGTTTTTTATAATATGCAAAATAACACAAATAAAACTAGAGATTCCAATTTTAGTAGTGAATAGTAGAATATGCATTGTTGTAGCTGAGATAATGACAGAATTATGCATTTTGCATTTTAAATAAGCAGTTTTATTGTTCTTTGGTTGGCAGCGGTTGATTTCTGAAAGAATTTTGATGGGCTACAGTTGGGTTCGAATTCTGCTGTGGGTCTGGCCAGCTTGACCTTGGGTGCAATTTTCTCATGCTATATTTGGGAGTGTGTGTACGTCTCCCCTCTCCAGCAGGGTGCAAGAGTGCTGACCCTGTTTGACCTCAAGAGTGTCTGACCCTAGCTTGACCAGATACGGTGCTGCACCTACTCCATTATCCAGCATGTCGATGACGGAGTGCTCCGGTAGAGGGGCGTAGAACATTCTGGTAAAAAGTTTCGATTGTCTTTCACTTCCCTGCTGCGACGTGAGAGCGAGTGAGTGTGAAAGGGATTGTGCCCATTTGTCTGTGTTAGATTCCTCTGGGGCACTGCCACTGGCACAGTGGGGTTACAATGACAGTCCACCCCACACCACAGGCCTGCCTGTAGTAGCACTTCTCTGCAAAATGACACTAGCTCCATTTCCACTCAATTAAATGGCTCTGCGGCTCTTACTCATTGGCCGTCTCCATTCACTGTCAATAGCTAGACTTGTCTATGCAGATTTTGAAAGTGAGCAAATTCCTGGTGATTTTTCTGCTCAAACACAATTGATTGAACTTATCTGTTAATTATCAGGTTTAGTAGGTGAGTTAAAGGGAAATGAAAACACTCTGCTGGACTCACTTCCCAACCCCTGCTTTACATAATGAGGTAATTAAAAAAACAAAACAAAACAAAAAAAAACTGCTGTTTCGTAGATGTCGCTTTAGTAGGCCTTTTGATATGAGTGACAAAAAAGGAGAAAACAGGGAGAGAAATGGTTAATACTGGGCAGCTTTTATTTTTATGCCTCAGGAAATAACCCTAATTAGCAACATTCTCTAAGAAGCAACTGGTCACGTGTTGCAACAAACCTCCCTTTAAATGTGCTGTAGGCCATATTTATGGAAAAGACCACCTGTGAAAAAAACTGAGGTTGTAATTCAGATCAATTTTACAGAGAGACCCTGCATAAACATTTCCCACTGAGGCTTGTTTATTGGTTCGTTGTAGGTAAGTCATGTGATGAAAATCCTGTTACATGACAATAAATTTAAGCGCCACTATTATTTTTGAGACAGAATGTTTCTACAATAGTTCTTCCACATCATCACATTTATCAACAAACAATTTTCCAATACAATTAAAAAAAGATGCCTTGATATTTGTAAATATTATTTTATAACTGCTCTAATTTCAGTTAATTTTTCTAGATGTTGCCAGTTCCCCTGGCTGCATTTCAAAGTATTAAAAATATTTTTTACCATTTTTTGCATTTTGCACAGTTCCTTGGATAGAAATCTGCCTTATATCTGTTATTACTGATGGCTGAGATATTCCTCTGTGTTTTTTCTACATCTTTCCTTTTTTTCCTACAGTGTCTGTCTCTCAGACCGTCTGTCTTCTCTCTCTTTTTCTCTCTCTCTCTCTCTCTCTCTCATCCTTTCCTTCTTTCTCTCTCTGACCTTTGAGATCCCAGAGCCCATGTTTATTCTGATCAAATATCCCCACTGAGCCTTGAGAATTAAAAGGCCAATGAGAAATTAAGCAGGTGCCAACCCCCGCCACCTCTCGCTATTCATCACGCTGGCATTACAAACACTAAATTAACTGCATTCCTCTTCCTTCTCTCCTCCTTGTCCTCTGAATGGAGTCTGTTAATCAGTAATCTATAAGCTCATTTCTCACCTGAAGTCCGAGCCTTTTCTTTTTCCCCGGTCTGGAATTCCAGGGTCCAGACACATGTTGTGTCCTTGTGCCACACCCATCTGGGACACTACAAGAGAAAAGGAGACAGAGTATTTTACATCAAGGCTTGTACTGAATACCAGCCTGACTGTGCAGCATATACACTGACCATCAAAAGTTTAATTTTAATTCATTTTAATTTCAAAAGTAGTATTTGATTAGTGTTAATTGAAGTGTCCTCTGTGTTTTGAAGCTTACATTTTACAAAGGTTAATTACAAGATCTAAAAAGAAAACATGCTTATTTATTAAGAAATGGTTTGGGTGTCCCCAAATTTTTCATTCGCAGCACATATCAGTTATAGCTATAGATATTAATATATTTGATATAGTTAATTCGGTATAAGTGGTACACTCGGTTAAAGTGGGACAAATAAGCTTCATGCTGTACTGCTTTTTAAGTAACAGGAGAGAGTTAAATGGACCCATCATGAATAATTACTACAAGGTGCTTCAGCACTTGTTTTTACTAGACCGCTATCATTATTGTGGCCGTGGTCATTATTTAAAAATTGTCTAATTTCTTATACTTAAATGTAGTATAAAGAGCAAACGTCAAACAGAAGGAACTTCTCATGGGTTTTTAATACACAATAATATTGATTTAAAATCACACTGTGTTATTTGCTGACGTGGGTTTTGGGTACTGTCACACTTTTTCTGAACATGCAAGGTAAACCACCTTGAAATACCCCTGTAGTATAATATGATCATTAATTAACATATAAAAGCTAATATGTCTTGACCACTATAACACATAACAATTATGAATATATTTAATCTAGGATATTTAATTACAGGCCTAATCATGTTTGTATATGTACAAACATTCAGCTACTAATGGTGGTCTCCCTTACTGATGCCTCTGTGTTGTGTGGCATAGAGACGTCTGCAGTTACTGAAACTGAACAAGTGTAAATCATTCTTTTTAGGCCTGTGAGCATTGAGCTAATGTGTGGAATCATGTTGGATATAGACCAAAATGCACAATGATGTGACATTCTATCACTTAGTAAAATGGCACCTGAACCAGTACAGTCTGAGAAAGGACAGATAAGAAACAGAGAGAAGGGATTACATAAAAGAAAGAGAGAGTTGAAAATTATGGTATAGAAGATCAAAGTAGATAAAAAACAGTGAGTACAGAAGAATATAGAGAGCAGAGAGTCAGGGAGGAAGCCTCAGCTGTGTTTCCTTGTCAGAGTTTGGAACATGCTAAAGTCCATTCTTTAAGATAGCTTTTTTTGTTAGTATCAAGCCTGTTAAGTCAATCACTGGTATTCTTTCGGTCAAATGTGACAATATGTTATTTTTTAACAAAATTTTGCTGCAGCACCAATGGGCAACACCAAATAAGCGCTGTTCCACTTCTGCTGAGAAACCTGCCGAGAGTTCCTGAAAGCAAGTGAAAAACAGTGCCCAATTGTGTTCCATGGCCTATAACATCCAAATGAAAGCATATTCATTGCACTTTATCATGTATACATTTATAAGGTTTGTGAGAACTCAGAAGATGCAAGTATATAGCTTTTCTAAGGGTTCCTAGGGTCCATTTACCAAAAAGGGTCCCAATTTTGCTGAACTCAACTAGAATAACCCAAAATTTAGGAATGCCATGATGCTCTTATATAACTGCACTAGAAAAACAATAAACAGACTGTCCAGTGTCATCCACCCCAGATAGGAAGTGAAAATGACACAGGGGGTCAAGGAGTGTGTCCAGAGAGCGCGGGCTCCAGAGATGGGCGGCTCCGAGGCCTGACAGTGGCGGGAAAACCTGAAGTGACATGTGTTGATTGGCTGAGGCACCTAAGTGCCAGGCCTCATACATATTGATGCGGGACAAAAGGCCAAGCTTGTCAGTGCTGCCGTGGAGACGCTGTTGGCCATGGCAATGGAGTCGGGAGCCCTGACAACACCCATAGCTCACACACATGTGGGAAGGCTGACATTTTCTCACAATGATGCAAAGGTAATAGAAAAGTAAATAAAGACTCTGCTCGGGCGGCCTAGAGGAGGGTGGTAGGCTGGCGAGGGCTCCTGACACGCAACGCAATTACTGCAAAAGCCTTTTCTCCGTCTGTTTACCAAGATTGAAAACCTGGCTTGTTTTCATTCCTCCTCTCTGTGCCTGAGGAGAAAAGTGGCACCTCCATTTGACATTGCACAGAATGAATGATAATGATTATGATCAAGATTGGGGTCGTAAGTTGTCTAGTAAGGACGTATCATGGCAGAGATGCATTTTAGACTTTCGGAAAAAAGGGAATTTTGCATGTTGACCACAGCTCAAATGCTACAACTCAAATTAAACTGAGGTCTTCGGACGGCAAATGTAGTGTTATGACAAAAAAGAAAAACCAGCAAGATGGCTGCATGAGCGACCAAAGAACCCCACAAATTTAAGTATTTTCTCCTTTAAAAATCACAATAACCATTGTGTTATCTTAGTTTAATGTCATTTAAATGTATTATGGTCTTTCTCTTCATAACAAGCATTAAAAAATCACTAGTAGTATGCAGATATCTCGGTAGTTAGCTGGCTAAATTTCCCATTCCAACCTAATTGGCGCAGCAGTTACATTCTGGCACCTCAGGCATCCAAACTGCTGCACGATTTAAAGTGGAACGAGAAAATTCAAACAAGAAGCTAGCAAATACCTGACTTCAGCTTCATATCACTGAAGAATTAGGGGTGGGCGATAATAAATAATTGATCCATGGGGCAAGGTGACACTCTAAAGCAAGGTGTACGAGTTAAAATAAGAAATGGGATTGGGCCTAAGAGTGAAGAAAGTCAAGCCCAAGTAGTACCCTGGTCCCTTGGTTTTGACTGGTCTTCCATCCACCTCTGTTCGCTCAGTGGCTCTCAACCACTGGGCTGCAATCCTCAAAATCTAGGTTCCGGTTTGAAACCTTGCCCTCAAGATCACTTCACCAACCTTCTTCAAATTTCTCCTGATTGATTACACCAGCTGTCTTCATATTTCTCCCGAAACTCGCCACACCATTTTCTTCACATTTCTCCTAAAAATCACTACACCAACCTTCTTCACATTTCTCTCCTGAAACGCATTAAACCAAACTTTTTCACATTTCTCTCCTCAAACTTACTACACCAAACTTCTTCACATTTCTTCTGAAGCTCACTCTTCAAACTTTTTCACGTTTCTCTCCTGAAACACAGTAAACCAGTCTTCTTCACATTTCTTCTAAAACTGGCTTTACCAACCTTCTTCACACTTCTCCTAAAAATCACTATACCAAACGTCTTCACATTTCTCCTAAAACTCTAAGTACACTAATCTTCAACTTTCTCTCAAAACTCACCACAGTAACTTTTAATAACTATGTAACTTGAATTTCAAAAGAATTGTACAATATATGGGACAATTAGCAGACTTCCAACTTTGCAGTTTTATCATTCTGTAGTATAGTTTAGCTAATGCTCACAAAATGTTGATACAAAATAGTAGGCAGCAAAGCTTGCTGCTAGGTTAGCTGCGTGGCTAAGCACTGATATAGACTGCAGTCTGACTGTTTTTTCCTATAAATCAGTGTGCACGCACAAGGTGACAATTTCATATCATTAGTGTGAAAGATTTTATTAAAAAATTATACCTTAACAACATCAAATACAGCTCAATAAATGCCAAAAAGAAATACCTACAGACTGAAATTTTGCTGTGGTTGTCTTTACTTGGGAGCATCTTGACCCCTCTGGACTTCAGCTCTGTCATCTTCTTCACTGCAAGATAAAAGTATGACAGTTTGACTACAATGGTACACAGCAAGGATGTAGCGATACAATTTATCATATTGTATTGACTTGTATAACAGCACATTGTGTCATGTTGTATTGTATCATGAAAAACATTTTCACTTGTGGCTAGTGCTTGGCTTGAGGCTAACATATTAGCTTGTGCCCAGAGCATTAGATTGGGATACTATAAAGCACAGCTTTTGACTTATTGATGTTAATTGTTCTAATAAACTGAAACATTAACATATGAATGTAGGGCACATTTTTAGCCACTCCTAAAATGTAATAAGGATATTTTATGTAGTTACTCAGGTTCAAGTAGAATGAGCTTTTAGTCATGTTTTTGTACTGTGGCACTTTTGTACCTAAAGTAAACAATGAGGGCAGCCTGTAGCCCTTCATATAAATTCAAAACAGTCATGTTTATTTTATTTATTGCGCTAAAATTTGCTCTTCTACTTTGTTATCACAAATAAATTTGCCACATCTGACACCGCCTCTTTTTACTCATTACATCATTATTTTCACGCATACATTTTTGTGTTTTTAGGTAAAAGCTTGTCTGGTTCAAACAACATAAAACTGTTTTGAAACAACTGTGTTTTGCATTGATGCACAAGACTTTTTAATGCCTGTTACAACTACCCCCCAGTCTGTTACAATCAACCCTTTCTGTGGGGTTAGTTGTAATGTTTGCACTCACTCTGCTTTTGGCTGAACTGTTCATAAACAGCTGGAAACAAAGTTTATGTTTTCGTTTGGAGCAGAGCTGCAGGTTGCCTGTATATATACCATTAATCTTCCTCAAAAACCTTTGAAATGGTTTAGCAAAACTTTAAAAATGTATGAAATTGAGTCAACAACATTGTATTGTGTTAAAATTTTACATTTTATGAATTGTTCCATCCCTAGGGGCCAAGTTTGATGAATATAAATAATAATTATATAAGATATACGACATATCAAACTCTTCATATACTGTAATAATCACATGGGGAAGAGGAACAACTAGTTCCAAGCACTGACATTTAGCAACTCAAGTGTTTGAACAAAGCTCTCAGTATTTATTCAGTTGGCTAAAGGGAATAGTTCCAACACACACAAACACACACACTGTACTTTTGCATTCTTCACAGCCTAATACAACACAATTTCAGATACTAAGAGAACAGACAAATTTGATGGAGGCCTGTGAAGATTGGTAATAGAAATACAGCAGGAACCAAATGTTATTTCTCAGAAAGCCTGCTTTTGTGTTAGTCACATAAAAAGGTGTTTAGCTTGCCCTGAAGAACTCCATTAGCGCGAGGGTGCACCGAGGCTTGCACTGTTTATTTGCTGGACAGAGACCGAGGCGCTTTATTAAGGCAACAATCCTCCACAGCGCAAAAGCCCGATGTTTAATTTCAGAGAGAAAATGTAATTTTAAACTGACATCCCATCACCACTCAGAGATGAAGCACTTACAAAGTATCACAGTTATAACTTATCAACACACTCTTCTTTAAAGCTCTACTCAAGACCCTCATTATTCTGTCCAAATTATTTGGCCTTCTGCCTCTTTCAGGGGTCGTTTTCCAAAGAATGAATGTGTTGTTTCTTTTCATCCCATTAGCACTTAAAAGCAATGTCACATGCTCATTAAAAACAAACAGAAACAAGCAAATAAATGAATAAACAAACAAAAAAACCCTGCAATTTTCATCTTGCTTCTGATTTTTTTTTTCCTACTTACAGACGAAATTCCTTCAATTATTCCAAATTTCTGCATAATTAAATTGTTACAATGTAAACAAAGCCAGACAGAGTGGTTTTGTGTGAAATGTGCTTTTCTAGAGAAACTTATTAATAATTATTGACAGTGGTGGTGATAGAAACCAGACCTCTGAAGCATTTAATCTCTATAAAAACTCCCTTTCAGAAAGATATTACATGATATCGATAGTCTGGTAGTCACACCTATTTAATGCTGTTGTCCAAGACCTTCATCATGGCACATATGTCATTGTCTCTGGCATATTGTATTGTCAATTAAATTTAAACGTTTAGTTGCATTCTAAAAATATATATTCAATCACAAAAGGGTTAAAATACTAATTTTGAAGCTGCATACAAATCCTTTAAGTCTTCTTCATTCCTTAAGAGGATGTAGCTCCTCCATAGTGAGCCCTTAACATCCTGAGGCCTTCTACAACATCCATCAGTGAGAAACAGAAGGCTAAGTGGCTTATTATGTTAAGAGTATCTTCTCATTGGAAATTAGCCATACTTATGGGCGTTGGGTGGAAAACTGGCAGGAGGGAAGGAGAAGGAGTGAGGAGATGAGGAGAGCAGGGTCAATGGGAAATCTAATTAAGGGCTTAGCCCTCCTTTCTCCTCTTCCTGATTTTCTAACAGTATTTATTTATCAAACTGCAGACCTGTAATCCTATCCCATCGCTCTGATCTGCTTACGGAGGAGGTGAAATTCCCGCAGATTCCGCCTTTTGTTTTCCGCAGCTGAGCGCGCTAATCCCGTTTTTCAGCTCATCCCCTTTGAGCGGAGACCTCTGAACTTTGGAGTGTGATGAGACTGCAGCCAAGGCAGGGCTGTGGTACAGCATAGGGGCTTGGGGGATGGTCAACTGCTGCTTTAATAATACTTAGCCTGGGCTATAATGGACCACTTAACAGTGAACCTCATTGTAGACTGAGGGGAGGCATTCTGAGAAGACTGTGACTGTAAAAGTAGCTTATACTAAACAGCTACCCCACTTCAAAAAGCAGTTACAAAGAAATAACCAAACACTGATGACTGGGAAAACGGGTCTGTCCCTGCAGGGTCTAACTGTATTAGGTCAGGTTCCATCTGGAACGAACTGTGCAGTACTAGCTAAATGGCTATGCAAACTAAGCAATCCCGAATGGATTAGTGTTGCTTAGAACAACAACTCTGCGTTAATGGTCCATATACTTAAGATTTCTCACATTTAATTTCCCCCCACATTGGTTTACTTACACTTGTGTCATTTCATGTAGTCATAATTGGTTTATGTAATCATAATTCATTTTTCCAAACATTATTTATCTCCTAGAATTAAACAGGCTGTTTTTGTTCCTATGAATTAAGACTGATGGAAGTAAATGAACTCAGATTGGATGTCCTGTATTACATCTTGCTTAAAAAGCAGTCTGGACTAAAACTCAACTGGCTAATTTGGGTAGGTGAATGTACAATACTGTGAGACCGTCCTTCATTTACTTAATTTCCAGTCAAAATGGCAACAATTAAAGTTATTCGTTTTTAGTGTCAGAAAAAAAAAAAAAACATTTAACAGATAATTACACAGAAGCCTCAATACTTCTTGGGAGACCTGCTTTCAGTCTTTTGAAGAAATCTGCAGGGATAGATGTTACATTTTCTGCTTCTCATGAATGAAGTAATCCCAAACACATTCAATGATGTGGAGGTCTGGACTCTGGGGAGGTCAGTCCATTGTTTTGAGAACACTAGCAGCTTGCAAGTAACATTTATGAGTAAAATTTAATTAAATATCCATTAAATGCAACTGAACTTTAAGTTCAGTGTGAAGGAGTTTATTAAATCTATCCCTAACCCTAACCTTAACCTCAAGGCAAAACCTGCATCTAATTTTAATTACACTTTCAATATGCCCTTTGATACCACAATCGTAAATGTGCAATTAATTGCTTTTTCAAAGTGTCTTTGCCACTTTTACCTTGGTACTGTGCACTGAAGCCCCTGAGCTTGTGGTTGCCATCAGTGGTGAAATGGAGCCGCAGCCAGTTCTTACTGCTAATGATGGGAGAAGGGAGGTTGGGACCCGTGAACCTGCAACACAACACGTTCCAACATACATCATTCAGAAAGGGCAAAACAACAAGTGCAATGAACAAGCAGAGTGCAAAAATCATCTGGGGCAACTGAAGAATTTTAATACTACACGATAGAGAATAAACAGAATGTGTTTAGTGAGAAATGTGCTTAGTAAGCGTGTCCTCAAAGCATCTCATATTATGCTTAGTGTGAAAAAAGAAGGCAAAGCTAAAATGACGAAGGCACACACACACACCACAGCCAGCTATGCCTTCTTAAAAGATACAACTTTGGCAAATGTGCACTTAATTAGCATCTTCAATTTTCTACATGTGAATTGGATTTCCTCAACCATAGCCACCTTGCTCCTACCTCCTACTTCTGAGCACAGCTTTAGACAGGATCTTAAACTCAGCAGTCATCAAAAGTAACATTGGTACACGTTGAATATCTGAATTCCGGACGCAAAGGTGAAGGACATACAGGATACTATATACATATATATAGCAGTAACAGCTCCTACTCTTCTGAGAAGTCTTTACACTAGATGTTAGAACATTGCTGTGAGGATCTGATTGCATTCAGTCACAAGAGCATTTGTAAGGTCAGGTACTGATGTTGGACAATTAGTTCTGACAAACATCACTCCAACTCATCTCAACTCATCCTTATCCCAAAGATATTGGATGGAGCTTCATCACTCCAGAGAAAGCAGTTCCACTGCTCCACAGCCCAATGCTGGACGGTTTTATACCCCTCTACTCAACGCTTGCCATTGGGTATGGTGACCTGAGGCTCAAGTGTGGCTGCTCCAGAGCATCCCACTGTATTAACAATACATTCTTATAGAGAGATTATAAAAGCTGTCTGCGCTTGTATAGTGCTTCTCAAGTAGAGTGAATTCACTCATTAGAAGGTGTCTGGATACTTTTGGACATATAGTGTACTTTGACCTGTTTATGGGTATTGTTTTCCACAGAAGGATAAAGAAGGAGTCTTCACTAGAGACAACAAAGAATCTAAGAGTCTGCCCAGCAACAGCCTGTGAATGAGTAATGCAGTGAGTGCACACACTCCAGTAAAAGCCCAGCTTTAAACCAGTGCTAAGGTTCTGGGGATGACAAGAATTAGCGCTTATTATTATTAAGACAAAGCTATTCATGTTATTGTGCACTGCGTTTCACAATGGGACACGTTGCGGATTATTGTGGCGAACGCTAAGCACATAAGCTGAAGGGAAAACAGAAAGCTGCCTGACAGAGAGACAGAGCCTGAGCCTCAACGTGTGTACCAAATGTCAGATTTGGCTCAACGAGCCCTCCGACAAGAGACAGGGAGAATACAGCAGGATGGTGAGGGAATGAGGGAGAGAAAAGATGGATGGAGCGCAGTAAATTCCTGAACTGCTCTGCTTTTCTACGAGCGCTGTCCGGCGCTGATTGTTTCTGCTGATGGTGTGGATTTCCAATCAGCCTCTACGCTCTGACTCACCGTCATTAGCCAGCACTGACTCCACCAGCGCTCATAAGAGTGATGAGAGCAGCGTCTGAATCACAGTCACAAAGACGCACTTTATCACTTCATAAGAGCTGCTTCACTCACCGAGACGATGACAAGGCTGATGAGAACCGTTTCGGGAATTTGTTTGTGAAGGAATGTTGGCCTAATCAAGTGTGTGAAATATGTGCTACTGCTTATAAAGTGGGTAGTACTGTCATCAGTCATTGCAGGCTCTCACGGTGTCCTAAAACTGGCAAGACAGTTGAGCGATATGAAGAAAAATGACGACGGGTCAATCCCACAAGCATTTGGGTGTCCAAAAGGGGTTCATTGGAGTATACCATAGAAAAAGCACTTCAGCTCTCTAAATAATTTTTCAGCAGTGGTGCTCAAACTGCTCTTCAGAGACTCCTAGACAGTCCACATTTTTGCTCTATCCCTATGTGTTGATAGTTAGGTTAGAGCAAAAATGTAGACTGTTTGGGGGTCCCTGAGGACCACTGCTTTGAAGAAACATTTTTGTAAATGAGATATTCAAGTGCAAAGAACCTTTTTAGATGCAAACTTCTTCAATGAGATAGGGTAGTAACGCACTCACTCACTTGAAAATTCTCCACAAGGGGGTGCTTTGTCAAACAGTTTAGAGGCTTCAGAAATGCCATTGCACACAGAATATGATGCCAGTAAATGATACAATGAAAGATTCTTCTGCATCAAAACAATATACAAGCTTTTTTTTTGTTTTTTGGAATTTCACAATGTTGTTTGCTTTTAAGAAAATCAAAAAAAGATATCCTTTGCTTCTCACAAAATCAGCAAACTGTAACATTGTGCAGAATGCTTTCCACTTTGGAAAAGCCAAAGGCAAACAGAGTTTCTTTGCCACATTAAGTTAAAACTTTAGAACTTTGCCACATTCAGGAGGTAAACCTTCAACTCAAATTGAGCCGATTTCGGAGATGCTCCACATGAGATGAAGCACAAAACAAATGGGTGGAATGTCTTCAAGTGCAAATATGATCTTTATCCTCACAGTGTGGGTAAATGGTAATATTGGGCTTTCCATTTTGGAATAGTAAGAGTGTAGAGAGCTTCATCACTTCATTCAGAAGCTAAAACGTCATGAGTGTTTCCACAAATAACTCAGAAGCTTGTAGCCCAGTTTCAGGTCTATTCAAGCTGCTTTAGGAGATTCCAATCCTTTTGACTTTTTCAGAAAAGTTCTACTTACTGGGCCCAGCTGATCCGTCAGTTTGGTTGTCGCCACGTAAACAGCAGAGTTCATGTCATCAATGGAAGTTCACAAAAATCAAACAGATGGCAAATAAAAATGTCACACTCTCACATTGTCGCTATTCAAAAAAATGCTTGAATTAATTCACTGTCATCTGAATAAATCACAAAAAAACACTGCATTTGGTGTGTAAAGACAATAAGAGAAGTGCTCGTATCAATGACAGTAGCCATGTCTCAAAGCCAATGACGAGGAAGGCTGCATTTCTCAGCTGTTATTTTACTGAAGGCTGTGCCGTTTTGTAGGACCCTTCAAATGTGGCCAAGAAATGTGTCCTTTGTTTCTGAGAATTCCAAGCAGGCAAAGAGCCATTAAGGAAACTTGATTTTCAAGAGTGTCTCTGCTAGGCATACCATTGATAATGTCTGCGCTTGGCCATTGAATTTTCAATTTTAGTAATTCCACAATCACATTACTTGGGGTCAATAATATATATGAGGCTGAAAACAGCAATAAGTAGAAGTAGGCAGAATGAAAAATAAAATAAATGGGTCTACAAAATAAGTGTGAACGATGATCAAACCACTGGTCAAGCCACCACTCGTCGCCCAAATTTTCTCTCAACAACCGCAACAGACCTTGGCAGAAAAGTACGCTCAATTCCATGCTCATTTTCAAAAATAGTTTGCCTTGTTTATGTCTTGGCCACTACACAGCTCCTTCTCACAAAACCACAAAATGGAGCAGATGTGGTTATTTTTTGTGAGAGCAATTATGGGAGGCATTCTAACATGGTGTGTCCACTCTCTCAGAACAAGGCTGCCCACACATTAAAAGGCAGAAGGAATGACTCTCCCATAGCAGGTAAGAGGACCTTCTTTTTAGCTGGAGTTAGTCGCTCTGGAGTTCAACCATGGAAAATGAAGTGTACACTGGATGTTATCACTGCCTTGGTGACTGTGACCACACTGCAGTACTGATGCAACAGGGAACCAGAGACCATCTCATTTCAACATACATTAGCAGCTTAACCTTTTTATCACAAGGCAAAAAAATGTCTATTTCTGTCTTTCAATATACTCTTCTGCATGGATATCATTGCATTTACTTGGAAATGTAAAGAGCATGTTCGAACAAAGCCAAAAATTTGTGTCCTATTATTTTGAACAAGAAAATACATGAATAGGAATATAGTTCACTCATGCCTTTTATCTTTACACTGATGAAACAAATCAATTATAAGCCCTCAGAGGCCTGAAAAGCTCCAATTCTGCATGCAGACACATTTCAATAAGACTGGCCCAAACAGCATTTTACAGGCTTTGAACACTCATTGGTGTTTCCAAACGAGTATCCAAAACTTGTTCTCAAAACCACCCTAAAAACAACATTATATAAAACATGTTTCATAATTAACCATATTTTTAAGTAAGTTCCTGCATTTCAAAAAATATCCAGTAGGCAGGAACAATGTATTAATAGCTCATATTGACGATAGCATAATAATAATTTAATCAGCTGTGGCTGATTAAATTAAGGCTAAGGCATGTAGCCTATCACTATACTTACATATTTACCAGATCACTACACTTACATATTTGAGATGATTCCAAATGCTTATTGCAAACTTTGCACTGAACATCTTTCATACTGTGTGATAATTTAACCTCTTTCTGCAGGCCCCATGAATGGCCACCTATAAACAACTACATCTTGGCTGGTGTAGGTGGCTATTTAGTCAGTGGAATAGCAACTGACTCTGATATTTTTAATTAATAAAACAAAATTAAATATTTTTGCCCTGTCACTTCTTCACTAGGACACTGGTGGCTGTCTGTGTGTGAAGCATTGTAATTCTTTATGAAGCTGCTAGCAAGCAATAAGGAGTGAAAGAGGTGGGGTGACCCCCTGCTGTGAAAATGATTCACACCTCTCCAAAAAGACACCTCTCCAACTATCACAACAAGAAAAACAGCATTTAAACAAAACAATAAAACTTTTATAAATGTTGACCTGCTTGTTCACCTAAGAAGCCAAAACTCCAGTTGTGAATCATACACATATATCCCTTATATATTTCAGTAATGTTACTGAACAAAAAAATTGCATAATGTAATAACTGAGGGACTTTCAGTAGAGGAGGAAATTGCATTTAATTCCCACTGTGAAAAGGCTTAAAGAGTCATTTCTTAGGCATCTTTGCTCTTTTGGAAACTGAAGCAGTCTGCTGCACTAAGGTGAGGTGACAGATACCTGGCATGAATTTATGACACATTAACTA